ACAGTGGCTAACAAGCTCGGCCGGGTTGATCGACTCCTTGAGCGCCTTCGAGAGATCCAGGAGTCGGCAGTCCTCAGCCGCCACGAGGGCCAGGTCCTTCTGGGCCTCCTGCGGTACGCGGCTGGGTTCTTCGGAGGCAGAACTTTACGTTATGTCTGTGAGGACTTGAACGCCATAGTGCATCATGGACATCACCCTTCCCCTGTTGCGGTTAAGATGCTTTGTCGACGCGCCATAACTGCATTGGAATCGTCTAAGCCCCTCCAGCTCAAAGCAGACATGCCGAGTTCTCCGGTGCATCTCTTTACAGATGGCAGCTGGGAAAAAGGTGTGGCCGGAGTTGGGGCTGTGTTTTTCGACTCACACGATGGATCTGCAGAAGTTTATGGAGGCGAGATGCCAAAGGACATGGTCGAGTCGCTTCAACAGACAGACGGTGATCACTTGATTGGACAAATCGAAACTTACGCTGTCGTGGCCATGCGGATACACCTGGCTCATCGTTTTTCAGGACGCCGGGTGATCATTTGGACAGACAATGAAGGTTGTCGATTTGGGCTCATAAAAGGCCGTTCAAAATCCCACACGATGGACACGTTGATCAGGAGCTTCGCTGCTGCCGAGGATGCCAATCCAAGTCATACCTGGATATGTCGTGTGCCGAGTTACTCGAACATCGCCGATGGGCCTTCTCGGGGAAAGCCTGAGGAGGCTCTGAGAATTTCGGGAGCTGCTGCGTGTCAGTCTTTTCCATGGATTCGGCAAGCATTCGAACTTACCTGATAGCTCTCTTAAAAAGGGGGTATTTCGGGAGAGCAGGAAATCGCGAAACCAGATCGCATCCTGTGCATGCTTGCCCCACGACTGAAGAAAAAGCGCGTCAGTGTAACCGAATGAGTCTTCAACACATATATGTGATTGAGTTTCACATGTGTACATAGAAGATGGAATTACTTTGAGATTTCAGAAGATCTTTTCGCTAAAGCTTATTCCAATCATGAGGAATAAATTGTACACAGATTGCGTTCTATATCTTTTTCTATAAAACCCCAACTTTTGTGAGAGGGAAAATTTCAGCTTGCCTGACATTTCTCTCTCAAACTAAAGTTGTAGCGCTCTACCTTCGAGCGCGGGGTTTTAGAGTTCTTTTGTGACCTTTGGGAGTTGCAAAAATTATTTCAAGTTTTCAAAGAATTTTCCTCAGCATCTTGAACGACATTTTCAACTGTGTGACTTGCAGCATGCTTGAATCAACAGTTGGCCGCATTCATGTGAACAGCTGCTCAAGCTCGGGCTGAGAGAAAATTTTTGTCCCTCCCACCCACCCGTCTCAGTGTTGGGTCTGTCTGGGGGGTATTTCGGGAGAGCAGGAAATCGCGAAACCAGATCGCATCCTGTGCATGCTTGCCCCACGACTGAAGAAAAAGCGCGTCAGTGTAACCGAATGAGTCTTCAACACATATATGTGATTGAGTTTCACATGTGTACATAGAAGATGGAATTACTTTGAGATTTCAGAAGATCTTTTCGCTAAAGCTTATTCCAATCATGAGGAATAAATTGTACACAGATTGCGTTCTATATCTTTTTCTATAAAACCCCAACTTTTGTGAGAGAGACCCTTCCTGCCAGCAGTGCTACTGCTGCTACCGGTGGCACATTTAACTGCAGCTCAGTAATCGTACCCTGCCCCTGTTTGTCATTATCAGGCGAGCCCAAGACCACGGGTAGGCCTTCTGCTCGCGAAGGCGGTGCATACTGGTGTGCGTCAAAAGCCAGCAGGAGTTCTCCCAGCAGGAGGGTCTCCGTAGCAGGCCATAGCCGGAAACTTCGCTTTAAACACCCGGACGTCAGAAACAGCAAAGAAGAGGTCTGCGATGTGTTGTGCGGTGGTCAGAAAGCCATAGCCAATTATGGATTCGTGTAGGTTGGCGAAAGCTGCGGCGCGGTGCAGCCAAGGAGTTTGGGGAGGTCGAGGAATTCGAGCGCTCTCGCCATACCTTGAGGCACACCGAAGTGAGATTTGCAAATACGCTGCTGGGAATGTGTCTGGCAGGTGGAGCAATTGATTTGCCACCTTCAGAAGGTGTTCTGGATTAAAGAAGCTCCGATAAATCCCGTAGCAACTGCTCATACGCTCGGTACGCCTGCAACTGCTGCTCATAAGTGGTTAGATGGGAGGAATCCTTCAGGGCCAGGAAGGGCCGCGGCTTCACAGTACGCCCCGGCGTTAATCCATCCGCCTGCCACAGTAAGCCGCAGGCGGACTGGTAAGTTCTGCTTTCCACTCCTCTAGGTTGGTCGCCGCGGCATCAACCGGTTGTGCCAGCCGCGGAGGTGGCAGGATGTCCGACTTCCGCAGCCCCCTTTGGCTCAAGCCCGTAGCCCCTTTGGCTCAAGGCCGCGTCTGCTCGAGGTGGTTAAGCCACCAGGAAAGCCGTAGGAGGGGTGGGAGTCCGTAGCTAAAGGTTTGGCTTTGCTGGGAACCCGACTCGTAGGCAGCGGCCCCCTCTGGGACAGCCCGGAGGCATAGGTGGTAGGTGTGCTTGGTTCTGTGTTTGCTTGGTAGCTGGGGCTCTCAGCACTGTGCAGTTCCTTGCCAGCGCCCGCTTGCAAGAAGAATCCATTGTACATCTCTGGATTGCACTTAGTGAAGACATTGCAAGCTGCTTTGCAACCTGTTTTGCAACCACTTTTGCCAGAAGCTTTGAGACATTAACTGCGCCCGCAGTTGATCACTAGGTTGCTAAGTTAGTCAAGGCTCGTTTGCCTGTATAACTGTTGGGAACGCCCGTTTCCAACCATAGCTTTCTTAGTCTAACTGTTGGGAACGCCCGTTTCCAACCTAGTTTCTTAGTCTTTCTGTTGGCGGGGAATTTTTGATTTTCCAGTTTGGGAGCCCTTGTTCGGAGCCGGCTTTGTGGTGCATGTGAAGACACGAGCATGTTTTTGCCGCTGCATGAGTTTTGAACTTGTAGTTGTACAGACCTGCTGGCTCCCGTGCTGTTGCAAGAAAAGCTCCGGCTTTCTTACGACTTGCCTCTGCAAACGCAATAACAAGCATTATTCTGTAACTCAAGTCCTTTCGATCCTCTGTTGGATAGCTCCGGCGTAAGAGCAGTTGGTCGTTTGGTATTTGGATTAGTTAGGCCCCCTGGGCCAGCTTGAATTCAGTTCTGTGTGAGACCAATGTTTACCTTTTGAACACCGTGCATCATTCTCGACTGGCCTAAACTGCACTCGTCAGGCCCACCCGGCCGAGAGCACTAAATGTTGCTGGTGTTGATTTGCCGTCGTGGACGGGGAAGGTGGGGGTTTGTTAGTTTGTGCGCTTCCCTTGGTTAGTAAGAGCGAGAACGCCAAGGAAGTGCTTTGCGCATTGCGCTGGCCTTTGTCTGCTAGTAAGAGCGAGAACGCAGCAAAGGTTTAGGCCTTCGATGCATCCAGTTCGCGTGCGGTGGCTGTGCTGCTTGCTGTGTGGCTATACCAGCCACTGCATGCGTGAGGGCTGTCACTGTGTGGCTTACACCAGCCCTTTGCCTGTTGATGCGAATAACTGCCCTACACCCAGCAGCAAGCCTGCCTCTCCCACCCGTGCAGCGTATCAACTCTTTGCAACAGTGGAGTGCGCTTAGTACAATTGCCACGCCCCCTAGCTTGCACGAGCCTTGCCGCCAGGTGCCCGCACATGCACAGGCTCGAGGTGCACAGGCCCGTCCGGGTCAGGCGTGGCTATAGGTGCCCGCACATGCACAGGCTCAAGGTGCACAGGCCCTTCCGGGTCAGGCGTGCTTGCAGGTGCCAGCAAATGCACAGGCTCAAGGTGCACAGGCCCTTCCGCGTCAGCGTGCTTGCAGGTGCCCGCGCAGGCTCAAGGTGCACAGGCCCCTCCGGGTCAGGCGTGCTTGCAGGTGCCTGCAAATGCACAGGAGGTGCACAGGCCCTTCCGGGTCAGGCGTGCTTGCATGCAGGTGCCCGCACATGCACAGGCTCAAGCTGCACAGGCCCTTCCGGGTCAGGCGTGCTTGCAGGTGCCCGCGCATGCACAGGCTCAAGGTGCACAGGCTCGAGGTGCCCAGGTCCATGCCCAGGTCCTGTCGGGCACTTTCCCCTAGCGTGCCAGGCGGGTTGGGGTGCAGCCTTAATACTGTCGTTTTGCACACACTGCGCAAGCCCCATGCGTCTGTGTGAGTCGCAACTCATGCGTCTGTGCGAGACGCAATTCTGCACGCTGTCCTGCGTTTTGGGTGTAGGAGGGCTCAGGATCGCGCTGTTGAGGTCTGCTGGCCGCCCCAAACCAAAGGCGATTAACAACCGAACGGCCTTGCCAGTCGGTGCAAGCGTGCTGGGTTAGCTGAGGTGTAGTGTTAAATTGTCCTTTAGTAGCATTCCCTTTCCTCAAAATGCTCCCTTACATCCACTTGCCTATTATGCACCTAGCGCTGCGGGGCTCCGCGAAGGCGTCTTGTTGATCAGCCTGGCGGGCTCGTCTGTGTGCAGCTCTGTGCGTGGTGGCAGTCAGCGGGTGTGCAGGAGTCTGCGTTTAGGGTTTTGGTTTGCTGCTTAGGTTTCTGGTCTGCCCCTCACCCTTGTGACAGTGCTAGTCGCAGCATAGGGCGGAGGCCTCGTCGTGTCAGTTATACCCGGCAGGGACACTCCGGTTTCTGTTGGAAAAGTGCCTGGAACAACCGGCAGGAACAAGCCTGTTCATGCTGGAGGGGTGCCTGGCGGGGGCACTCCTTGCCACAAGCGCGTCATCGTTGTAATCGGCCTGCAATCCGGCGTGGCCCTGTTAACAAACGCCATGGCTCACTCCAAAAATGCAGCATGTGCGATCGCAAGTTCAGGAAAAGAATCCAGGTTGGCCACAGCCCGCTGGATCCGCCGCGCCAAGGCATCTTCACCACGAACAACCGCTTCCCGTCCACGGCGGGCATGTCTGCCATGCTGCAGATGAAAGGCGGCACCTTCCTCCAAAGCGGCTTCAGCTGCGCCGACACTCATCTCTGCACATGCATCTGCTGCGTGCCAGGACTCCAAAAATGCAGCATGTGCGATCGCAACTTCAGGAAAAAAATCCAGGTTGGCCACAGCCCGCTGGATCCGCTGCGCCAAGGCATCTTCACCACGGACAACCGCTTCCCGTCCACGGCGGGCATGTCTGCCATGCTGCAGATGAAAGGCGGCACCTTCCTCCAAAGCGGCTTTTGCTGCGTCCAGAAGAACGTCTGCTGCGTGCCAGGACTCCAAAAATGCAGCATGTGCGATCGCAAGTTCAGGAAAAGAATCCAGGTTGGCCACAGCCCGCTGGATCCGCTGCGCCAAGGCATCTTCACCACGGACAACCGCTTCCCGTCCACGGCGGGCATGTCTGCCATGCTGCAGATGAAAGGCGGCACCTTCCTCCAAAGCGGCTTTTGCTGCGTCCAGAAGAACGTCTGCTGCGTGCCAGGACTCCAAAAATGCAGCATGCGCGATCGCAAGTTCAGGAAAAGAATCCAGGTTGGCCACAGCCTGCTGGATCCGCCGCGCCAAGGCATCTTCACCACGGACAACCGCTTCCCGTCCACGGCGGGCATGTCTGCCATGCTGCAGATGAAAGGCGGCACCTTCCTCCAAAGCGGCTTCAGCTGCGCCGACACTCGTGCGATCGCAAGTTCAGGAAAAGAATCCAGGTTGGCCACAGCCCGCTGGATCCGCTGCGCCAAGGCATCTTCACCACGGACAACCGCTTCCCGTCCACGGCGGGCATGTCTGCCATGCTGCAGATGAAAGGCGGCACCTTCCTCCAAAGCGGCTTCAGCTGCGCCGACACTCATCTCTGCACATGCATCTGCTGCGTGCCAGGACTCCAAAAATGCAGCATGTGCGATCGCAAGTTCAGGAAAAGAATCCAGGTTGGCCACAGCCCGCTGGATCCGCCGCGCCAAGGCATCTTCACCACGAACAACCGCTTCCCGTCCACGGCGGGCATGTCTGCCATGCTGCAGATGAAAGGCGGCACCTTCCTCCAAAGCGGCTTCAGCTGCGCCGACACTCATCTCTGCACATGCATCTGCTGCGTGCCAGGACTCCAAAAATGCAGCATGTGCGATCGCAACTTCAGGAAAAGAATCCAGGTTGGCCACAGCCCGCTGGATCCGCTGCGCCAAGGCATCTTCACCACGGACAACCGCTTCCCGTCCACGGCGGGCATGTCTGCCATGCTGCAGATGAAAGGCGGCACCTTCCTCCAAAGCAGAGAGCACGGCCAGGTCACGGCGACTGCTAGAAAGCGCTCCATCCAGCACGTCCGCGAATTCACGCGTCAGGCCTTCTCGGACTTCGGCGTCCAAAGATGGCCAAGACTTCCGAAGCATGCTGATCGCACGAGCCAACGTGTCCTCTCTCGCCAAAGTTCCATTTCTAGCCGGCAAACACTTGTGCAAAGCACGAAAATTGCGCAAGTCGGAAAGTATTTTGGAATGCTTCTCGCCTGCATCCCGTGCCTGCGAGATCAGCTTCCCGCAAGGCTGTTGTGCTGCTGGCTTTCGTAGCACAACGCCGGAATCACTAGGCTCCCGTCCTGACGCCGATACCTTTTTGGCGGAAAACTTGCCCATGCCGCGTACGTGCGGGGTCCACGCCGCCTGCACAAACTCCACCTCTGCTACTCGGCACAGAACCAAAATGAAACAGCTGCAGAGATGTCAACAGAGTCGCAGGTAGCAAGAGCAAAGTTCTAGTGCGTAGGCTCAAGCGAAGAAAAAAGCGCGCAGTAAGGCCCTCACGAACGCACAGGACCACAACAAGGCCCTAGGTGAGTCTGGAAAACATTTCGCAAGTAAATTCCGTCAACAATATTCTTGCCTCTGAAGAGCACGTTCTCGACCAGACACGCTTTGACGGAATCCCGCCTCGTCTGCGCAGCACGTTAAGTAACAAGATCGAGGCAGGGTCCCATTCAGGCCACGGCCACGCGACTCCTCGCGGCTTGTCCATGGTGGCCAAGGCATCCTCGCCATGGAGGCCGCCCCCTCTTTCACGGCCAGCCGAGCCCTACGCCAAAGTTCTGCGTGGACAGCCGAGCCGATATCCAGCTGCGAGATTTGCTTTCATGGCAAGAAGGCGCGACAGCGCACTAACTTCCACAAGCTCAGCTTCTGAGGCCCGGACAGCTTGCAGCCAACCATTGCACAGGGGGCGACAGCGCACAGACTGACTTCTACAAGCTCGGCTCAAACAACCGTTCTAAGGCCCGCGCAGCTTGCAGCCAACGATTGCACGGATTCAGAACGTTAAACCCGCGTCCGGCTGAAGCCCCCCTCCGTTCCGGAACGCCACGGCGGCGCGCGTCCTGTGGAGTTCCCCCTTAGCTTGACGGATTCGGAACGCCGCGGGCACGCCACCACGGCACGCGTTCCCCCTCAGCTTGACGGATTCGGAACGCCGAGGGCACGCCACCACGGCGCACGTCCTGTGGAGTTCCCCCTTAGCTTGACGCCGCGGGCACGCAGCCTTGTCGGATTCGGAACGCCACGGCACGCGTCCTGTGGAGTTCCCCCTTAGCTTGACGGATTCGCAATGCCGCGGGCACGCCACCGCGGCGCGCGTCCTGTGTAGTTCCCCCGCCACTCGGCGCGCGTCCTGTGGAGTTCCCCCTTAGCTTGTCGGATTCGGAACGCCGCGGGCACGTCACCACGGCACGCGTCCTGTGGAGTTCCCCCTTAGCTTGACGCATTCGGAACGCCGCGGGCACGCGACCACGGCACGCGTCCTGTGGAGTTCCCCCTTAGCTTGACGCATTCGGAACGCGGAGTTCCCCCTTAGCTTGACGGATTCGGAACGCCGCGGGCACGCCACCACGGCACGCGTCCTATGGAGTTCCCCCTTAGCTTGACGGATTCGGAACGCCGAGGGCACGCCACCATGGCGCACGTCCTGTGGAGTGCCCCCTTAGCTTGACGCATTCGGAACGCCGCGGGCACGCGGCCTTGTCGGATTCGGAACACCGCGGGCACGCCACCACGGCATCCGAACGCCGCGGGCGCGCGGCCTTGTCGGATTCGGAATGCCGCGGGCGCGCCACCACGGGACGCGTCCTGTGGAGTTCCCCCTTAGCTTGACGGATTTCGTCAACGCCGCGGGCACGCCACCACGGCGCGCGTCCTGTGGAGTTCCCCCGCCACTCGGCGCGCGTCCTGTGGAGTTCCCCCTTAGCTTGTCGGATTCGGAACGCCGCGGGCACGTCACCACGGCACGCGTCCTGTGGAGTTCCCCCTTAGCTTGACGCATTCGGAACGCCGAGGGCACGCCACCACGGCGCACGTCCTGTGGAGTTCCCCCTTAGCTTGTCGGATTCGGAACGCTGCGCGCACGCCACCACGGCACGCGTCCTGTGGAGTTCCCCCTTAGCTTGACGCATTCGGAACGCCGCGGGCACGCGACCACGGCACGCGTCCTGTGGAGTTCCCCCTTAGCTTGACGCATTCGGAACGCCGCGGGCACGCGACCACGGCGCGCGTCCTGTGGAATTCCCCCTTAGCTTGACGAATTCGGAACGCCTCGGGCACGCGCGTCCTGTGGACTTCCTCCTTAACAGCACGCATTACGCCGCTCGCGGACGCTTTGCGGACGCTTTGCGAACGCTTTGCGGACGCTTGCGAACGCTTTGCGGACACAGCGCAACGACGTTTGGTAACCACCCAGCCCAACTTTAAAACGGGAACCCTTCTGCGGAGCATTCGGGAAAAAACCAGCGAAGAAGACGATGCGTGCCTCGTGCTGGACAAGGAAGGATTGTGGAGAACCGCTTTGGAGTCGGCTGCGTTGGAAGAAGAAAACAAAGAAGAGCTTTTGAGCGAAGGGATCAATGAGGAGCTGCTGCAGAATGAGAAGATTAAAGAGCTTTTCATGAAGTTCCGTGAAGCGATGGAGAAGCCAACGAGCACCTTGCCGACAGGGTTCGGAAGCCAAGTGAAAAGCTGGGAAGAAATGGTTTCGGACGAAGTGCAGGACATGAAGGACAGCAAGACGATTTTCGAAGATGACCTGCAAGAAATGTATCTTGAAGTCTGCAGGAGAGGTAATGGCCCTCCTTGTCGAGACGGACCCAGCGTATGCGAGGTTGTTTAAGCCGAAGCAGAAGATCTCACTGCTGGAAATGATGAAAAAGAAGAAGGAAGGTGAAAGTGAGGTTGAAACGATGAAGGAAGAATCGAAGGGCAAAAAGGTGGTCAAGACGAAGGCAATGCCCAAGAAGCCACCTGCGTTTTTGCAGGCAAAGCACAAGGCAAGCGAAGAGCCAGTGGCCAAGAGGCAGAAGATGACTCAAGAAGAAGAAAAAAGGGAGACAAACCCAAAGTGGCTCATCAGGAAGGATGAAGGCTCAAGACGCCCGCAAGGATGTTTCTTTTGTGGCAACGATGACCACAAGGCGATGTACTGCCCAAAGATGGGAGACGAGGCAACGGCCTTGGGAGCAAAGATCCCATCAATGGATGAAAGAAAGGAGAAAAAGGCAGGATTGTTCTGCAAGTACTGCTTTCTGTTGCACCCCGGGAATCCCAAGCCGGATTTGGCCGGATGGGGAGCGCGCACTCACCAGAAGTGCTGGTACCGTGGAGATGGAGCACGGGAAGAAGCGAAGTTCTGGGGAAAGAAAGAGAAGGCAGGAAAGAAAGAAAACGAAGAAGAGATCGAGAAGATGGTGCAAGAGTAACAGGATGTTCAGTTTCCTACACGACACGTTTCACACCGCTGTGTATAGGCTCAAGACGCACCCCTCGTGGAAGTCGCGAGTGAGAAGAAAAGAGTGCTGATGAGAACCACTGGTTCTAGGAAGGTTGATTTTAGCCTTTAAGCATTTATGGTAGCGGAGCTGTTGGCAACGGCCAGCAGCTGAAGAAGCAGATCCAGGGAGAGAAGGTAAGCCCAGCCGAAGGGCTGGCAGCCAGCCAACGGGCTGGAAAGAAGAAAGAAAGGAAAGCAGGAGTTAAGGTTTATCAACTACGCCCTGCAAGAGAAGAAGTTCGTTTTCCGGTGGGCGTTATCACCGGAGGAAATTCGGAAAGAAGTCAACGGACAGCAAGAGTTAAGGCTCATCAACTACGCCTTTCTGAAGCCGAAGAAAACAGGAGTTAAGGTTCATTAACTACGCCCTGTTGAATCGGTAGAAGGAAGAAGGTAAAGAAGCAAGAGCCTTGAGTCTGGACGACTTGCCTAGATCGTCAGAGCAATGGCAGAACAGCAAAGAATGAACTTTGAGGCAATGTTGGCTGGCATTGGCCAGGCCACAGAAGCTTTAGGAAGAGTTGCGAGCCAAACAGCAGCTCAACAACAGCAGCTGACAGAAGCAATGCAGAGGCTTACTGAGGCAGCCGGCCAAGGTGCTGCCCAAGCTGCAAGAAACTCCCCAAGAAGTCTGGGAGGAGAAGGAGCGCCAAGGGCGCAACCCTCAGGTGTTCCGTTCGACACCGGAGGAAAGATCTTGAAGCCGCCAGAAGTGTTCAATCCGGCAACACTAGAAGAAGAAGTCTCTCAATGGAGTGACTGGAGTTTCGCCTTTAAGAACTTCCTAGCATTCATGGACTATGAATTCCTGGCAGACTTGAAGAAAGCCGAAGCATCAACGGATGCATTGGACATCAAAGATGATGTTGATGGATTTTATGCAGCGAGCGAAGGACGAAAGATAAGAGGAATGAAGCTGTATTCTGTTCTGAGCAGCTACTTGAAGAATCGTCCGTTGAAGGTATTGAGAAGCATCGACAACATGGATGGATTTGAAGTATGGAGGAGACTCACAATGGAGCTCGAACCATCCTCTAGATCTCGAAGTCTGGCAATGGCCCAAGCTTTGGTAGGATTCCCTGCAATGGCAAAGGGAGCTAGCCTGATGGATTATGTCCTTATGTTCGAGAAGCTGGTCAACGAGTACGAGAAGTTATCAGCAACGAAGTATGATGACAACTTAAAGATCGGAACGTTGTTGAAAGGCATCCCTCAGAATCTGAAGCAGCACATCATGGTAGGAATCAATGAGAAGACAAGTTACAACGATTTGAGAACGAAGCTGCTGCAGTACGAAAGAAGCAACCAAACGTGGTCTGCTGAGAACATCTTGGGATCACTGAGCGTTCAAACCCCCGGAGCAAGTTCAAGTTCCAAGGAATATCAAGGACCAATCCCAATGGAGATCGACCGGCTAAAGGGAAAAGGAAAGCATGACAAAGGAAAAGGAAAAGGAAAAGGAAAAGGAAAGTTCGAGAAAGGAAAAGGAAAAGGAAAAGGAAAAGGAAAAGACAGGAAAGGCGGAAAAGGAAGAGGTCGCGGCAAAGGCCGTGGCCAAGGACGAGGAAAGTCTGTGAGGCAAGTGGAGAATGGTGGCTACGGAAGTCAAGGAAATGGTTCAGGTGGAAAAGGATCAAGATCTGGAGTGGAATGCTACAAATGTGGAAGGTACGGTCATTTCGCGTCAGAATGTTGGGCACCAGCGAAAGGAGGAAAGGACTCAGGAAAAGGAGGAAAGTCAAAAGGAAAGATGCGACAAGTGCGCGAAGGTGAAGATGACTGGAGCCAAGATCACGAATGGTCAAGTGGCGTATGGACTGCACCATCACAGTCGAGCACTAGTTCACATCCAAGTCAGTATCGAAGTCAAGAGCAATCGCAAGTGCGAGTTGCGCAAGCTGCCAAAGGGAGTGAAGAAGTGAGAAGAATCAGTGAGAGGCCAATGGTAAGAATCGAGGAAGTTGATGAAGAAGACGATGAAGAGATCGTAGATCTGATCGAAATGTTCCGAGAATGGGGAAACAAGCCCTACGTGAGAATGGTGAAGACGAACGAAGTTCAAGTGTTCGATGAAGAGCTGAACGAATTGGACGAGTACCAGATGTGGTATGAAGAAGACCGACCAGAAGTCAGACAGGAATCGATTGAGAATCCAAGTCCAAGTCCAAGTGTCCAAGAAGCGAGCAAGGATCGAGTACGAACGGTTCGGTTACCAGGGTATGAAGGCCTGATCGAAGTTGTTCTAGACAGTGGAGCAGACTGCCATGTCTTGCCGTTAAGTTATTATAGCGAAGACCTCGGAGAAGTGGAGCTTCCAGCTCTGAAGATGGTCATCACAGATGCACAAGGAAATGCAATTAGAACAACCGAAGCAAGGACCAACATAACGTTCGAATTCCAAAGATCCGATGGAAGAGTGATTAAGGTCAAGGACACCGCCGTGTTTGGTCAAGTGACCCAACCACTGTTCGCAGTGGGAAAGCTGTGCAAAGTTGGATGGGGCATCGAACCCCAAGATGCATACAGTGCATTTCTGACGAAGCTGGTGAAGCGAAGGAATGGAACGTCGGTATCGTATGTCCCGATAAGGTTTTCAAGGAACTCAACGGTGACAGATCTGAGAATCTACCGAGCAGCAATGGAAAACGGACAAGACGATGTGCCGATTTCAGTCAGGAAACTCACCCTGACGAAGGAATTGAAGGATGACATAGAGAATGGCAAGTACGAAGAAGGTTGGTTTTATCTCACCGACGGACGGCCAGTGAGAATTGACTGGGATGTAAACACGACGTACAGCCTTGGAAAAGATGAAGGAAAACCGTTCAAGTACAGAACAACGCTGAGGACCAGGTATGAAGAAGAACAGATAGTGTGGGAAGAACTGGAGTTTTATGAGTGTGCCGAAGAGTGGAGAGAAAAGAGCACAATGGTCATAGTGCCAGAGATCGAAAAGTTGGTCATCACGATCATGGAAAGATTCCCGAGAAGCGTTGAAGACTACGGAGAGTACAGCAGCCCGTATAAGAGAAAGGAAGCAGAGGAAACGCGTGACGTGGAAATGGAACCACAGGAACAAGAAGACCTATGGAAAGGAAGGTCAGAAGCAGAGTTGCAGCGAGAAATTGACAAAGGAGTAGAGGAACTGGCACAAGCACCAGGCCCAGAACAGCAATTGCAAGAAGAGAATGATGAGAGTGAACGGAAGAAGGTTGAAGAACAACTGCCGAAACTTGGAGAAGCAATGGATGAAAGAATGAAGATTGGAGGAATTGAGCTGACACCAGCGAGCACGCTGAAGCAGCTAAGACATGCTTGCGAGTTCCTCAAGTTAGGAAAGACAGGAAGTAAAGTCCAAATCTGGCAGAGACTGAAGGAAGCTGTAGCTTCGAACAAGATGAAGGAACTAGTCGAAATCTCAAAAGGACTTGAGATTGAGTTCTCAAGAGAGCCAGATGGAGAAAAGAGACCGGAAGCGCCGAGCGAGAAAGAAAGAAAGAGACACGAGCTGACACACCTACCGAAGGCGGATTGGTGTGAGAGTTGTTCGGCAACGAGAAGTAGAGAAGATGACTTCAAGGTGACAGAGAAGAAGTCGTTGGTCAGCATGGATTTCAAGTTCACCGGAACAAGGAACGAAGAAGATGCAAAAGATGTGAAAGATGCATTATGCATAAGTCTGGTCATGGTGGACCAAGAAACGAAGTTTGTCCACGCGATTCCAGTTCAAAGCAAGGAAGTGACAAGCTATCTGGTAGAAGAAGTCTGTAGAGTACTGATGCCAATGCAGCCGAAAGTGATCCTGAGAACGGACACTGAACCAGCGATGATTGCGTTGAGGAAGAAGGTACAGGCGATAAGGAAAATGCAGAAGCTGAGACGGAGATTCAAGATGTTGCACCAGACACACACCAAGGAGCACAAGTTGAAAGATGGGTACAAACAGTGAGAAACCTATCGAAGACTTTGGTGTATGGAGTTGAAAAGGAAGCGAAAGTGAAGATCACAAGCGAGAGCACGCTGTATCCATGGGCACCACGACACGCAGCATTCCTGCTGAACAGGTTTGTTGTTCAACAAGGTAAAACCCCGTTCGAGTTGGTATTCGACCGAGAGTACAAAGGAACTCTAGTTCCATGGGGCAGTGTGGTTGTTGCAAAACCACTGCCGAAGACGAAGGAGAAAGGTGAAGCATGGAAGAAAGGAATTTTCGTTGGAAAAGATATGGTTTCGAACATGAATCTGGTGAGCGCCAGAAGCGGAAACACCGTGGAACTATAACCAAGAGCAGTTGACAGGACGGTCAAAGCAGCCGAAGAGGCTACCGCTATCGAGTGGAATCGAAGTGGCGCCGATCGAAGGACCGCCAGTACAAGTCCCGAGAACTCCAGCAGTTGGGTTGGAGACACCACAGTACAGCCCGACAGCGTCGGAAAGATCAAGCGACGCAATGGCGTCTGATCCACCGACAAGTGATGATGATGATGATGATGAAGACCCTGGCGAAGGCCAAAAGGGTTCTGAAGCAAGCAGTAGGAAAGGAGCAACGGCAAGGAAAAGAGATGAAGCGAGTTTGACCTCGGGCGAAGCCGAAGAAGAAGAGCCGGAAGGCACGAGCAAAAGAGACCTCGAAGGAGGAGCCGCTGAAGAGCCTGAAGCAACAAGGCCAAGAGTCGATGAAGGAACCGGACAAGTTGAAGAACGACCTGAGAAGATCCAGAGAGGAGAACCTTCGGGAACAGTGAGAAGGATAATGGCCACAAGAAGTGTGCAAGAAGTGGCATCATTCCTTAGGAAGGATCTACCGACGTACCATGATGACGAAGAGGTTGAGCTAGAAGAGTTTGAAGGACTCGAAGTCGAGCTTGAAGAGTCTGAAGAAGAAAGAAGCTCGGAGCTTGGAGAGGACGAAGAGTTCGAAGAAAGTATGCCAAGATGGTCGAACAAGTTCGAAGATGGACCTCCGAAGTTGGAAGAAGATGAGCTGACAAGAGTCGATGTTGCGTCAAGAGAACTCACAGAGATGAAAGTCTTGAAAGAGCTGCCAGAAGGCACGAACGTGAGCAGCTACAAGTATCTTTCAACCAAGGTAGTCTACGATTGGAGGCATCGAGACAATGAATGGCAAGGGCGTGGCCGGTTAGTTGCCCGCGAGTTTAGATGGCTAGGCTCAACGGACATTGCAACGCTATTCTCTCCAACGGGAGTGGCGAGCACAGTGAAGTTGCTCTCAGCAATGTTTGTGTCGTCGAAGGACCACATACTTGGAAGCATCGACGTAGGAGATGCCTACTTGATGGTAGAGCAAGAGGAGCCAACAGTCGTCGAAGTCGACGGAAAGTACTACGAACTCGGATTCACGTTGCCAGGGCAACGGATAGGGTCAAGCGCGTGGTTCAACAAGCTGAAAGGATACCTCGAAGAGTACGGACTGAAGTCCGACGAAGGACTACCCGCGCTGTTTTACCGAAGACCAGAAAAAGGAAAAGCTGGAATGGTGGTACTGTCACATGTTGATGACATGGAGTTGTACGCAACGAAGGAAGAGTTCCAGGAATTGATCGAGTTTCTAAGGAAGAAGAAGTTGAAGATCAAGGTCGAAGGACCATTGAGCGTACACGAAGGATCAATGAGCTTTCTGAAGAGAGGTTTCAGCGCCGTGAACGACGGAGACGTTGAGATCACAATGAACTCGAAGTACATCGAAGGATTGACTGAAGCTTTGGAGTTGGAACAAGCGTATCCGAAAAAGTTGCCATGCCCGGCAGACAACGGAAGAGCAATGCAAGCGAAGAAAGGTGGAATGGATCCATTGTCCGAAGAGGATCACCACACGTACAGGAAAGGTGTAGGTATACTGCTGTACCTAGCACCAGAGAGGCCTGATCTGATGTATGTGCTGAAGAAACTTTCAACGAAGCTAGCGTCTCCTGTTGAAGCAGACATGGAATTGCTGAGGCATGCTGCGAAGTATCTGAAGGGTACACCCGATGTATCGTTGATACACAAGAAGAGTTATCCAGGAAGAAGTTTCATTGAAGAGCGAAATGAGAGAAAAGAAGAAGAAGAAGAAGAAGTAGAGAGAAATGTCTATGAGCAAGAGTCACTGTTGGAGATAGTGACGGATTCGGATTGGGCAGCCGACCGAGAGTCAAGACAAAGTGTATCGTGTGGAGCGATCATGCTGAATGGAAATCTGATTCATTTTCAAAGCAAGCGACAGAAGAGCATAGCTCTAAGCTCATGCGAAGCGGAAACGATAGCCGCAACTTCAATACTTTCCGAAGGAGTGTTCCTGAAGGCATTGTTGACAAGGATCCTCGGCAAAGAGCCGAAGATGGTGATGTACTCAGACTCAAGCAGTTCAAGACAACTGATTGCGCGGAAAGGTCTGGGGAAAGCACGTCATCTTGACGTTGATCTGTTATGGATTCAGAGTATTCCGAGGTTGATCAGCAAAGCGATCAAAGGAAAGGACAACCGGACAACCCAGCTGATCTGGGAACGAAAAGCTTGAGCAAAGACAAGATCAGGAAGTACATGGCAAGCCTTGGATATGTAGGAGAAATTGTTGATCAAGAAGAAGTTGCAGGCAATGGTCAAGTGAGAAGATTGAACGGCAATGGCCGAACCGGCAATGGCCGGAAAGTGAGCGAAGAGAAGTTGACAAAGATCACCCAAGCCGTCACAATGGCTGTTCTTGTAGCCCTAGGTGAAGCGAAGAAGTTCAGCGAAGAAGAAGAAATTGGAAAAAACGAAGGATCAACGCTGTGCATGAAAGTTATGATGGTGTTGATAGGATGTGTGTGTTGCTACTTGATTCCCGTCGCAGCCGTTTTGCGGATCAAGCGTTTGAGAGTAGAAAGAGAAAGAAGAAAAGAAGGAATGGCTGAAGAGCATTCCGAAATGATGGAGCAGCGAGTTGGAGAGCTTGCTGAAATGAGACAAGGAGCAACGGATCGAAGGGAGAGGTTGCTCCAGGAAAATGTTCTTGTAGAAGAGGAGAATGCTCCAAAGGAAGAAGAAAAGGAGAATGATCCAAAAGAAGAAGAAAAGGAGAATGCTCCAAAAGAAGAAGAGAAGAAGAATGCTCCAAAGGAAGAAGACACGCAAGAGGAGAGTGAAGAAGAGGAAAGCAAGACCGAAGATGAGTACTCCTCAAGTTCGTCAACAGAGGCTGAAGAGCCTAAGCCCTCAAAGGAGCCCGAGAAGAAGGAGGAGTCCGAAGGGCAAAAAGAAGCCGAAAAGCCGAATGAAGGCGAAGGCCAGGAGGATGATGCGTACCTCCATTTGTCGGAGGAAGGATTGTGGACTGTGACAAAGCAGTCGGCATCGATCGAAGAGGAGAATCGGATGGTTCTCGAAGGAGAAAATGCCCTGAATATGGATTTCGCGAGAAGCGAAAGGCTTAAGCAAATCTTCAGTGAGTTCCAGACGAGAATGAAGCAGCCGGCAAAGCAGCTCCCGAACGATTTCGGGAATGATGTCAAGAAGTGGGAGGTTGAGGCAATGGACCTGCTCACAGACCTCCGTGACAGCGAAGACATCGTCAACAGCGACCTGGACGAAGTTGAGCGAAGGTTTCTCAGCGCAAGAAAGAAGTACGAGAAGAAGAAAGATGAGATTGCTGAAAGCCTAAAGGTGGCAGAAGGCCTCAAGAAGGAAATGGAAGGAGCTGAGAAGGAGTTCCAAGAGGCGAAGGAGGAGGTGAAAGACTTCCAAACATCGAAGGATGTGGTGAAAGGCGTCGTGGTAATGATGCAAACGGCCGGTGAAGTGATGAGAATGTTGATCCACGAGCGGCCTGAGTTTGCAAGGCTCTATGCAAAGAAGCGAGAGCGAGTTTCGCTTTATGACTTGATCAAGCGGAAAAGAGAAAGTGACAGCGAGATCGAGCCAATGGGCAAGGCCAGCGAGAAGAAGACCATGGTAATGGAGCCGAAAACGAAAGCGATGCCAAAGAGGATCCCGTCGCCACTGCGGAAGAATGAGGAAGAGCAGAAAAAGCAAAAGACAAGTGAGACCCCAAGGTGGGATCCAAGAAAGCAAAACAGTTGCTTCTTTTGTGGGGAAACGACCCACAAGGCGATGAACTGCGAAGCAATGGCGCAGCAAGCGTTGAACTTAGGCGGTATCGTGCCGTCAAGAGAAGACCGCGTCGCAGCCGGTTCAAGTTTGTTCTGCAAGTGCTGCTACTTAACCTCGAAGGAGGACCCCAGGAGCAAGATGTGTGGGTGGGGTAACCATACCCACCAGCGTTGCAGAAACTGGAAAGCCGGAGACCGTGAAGAGCAACGATTGGCGAAGGCCAAGGAGATGGAATTGGAGAAGAACGTGCCCAAAGCTCCAAACCCCAAGTGGAGAGTCGAACCCACGACCACAAAGCGCAAAGCCGAAGATGCTGAGCCTAAGGCGAAGGCCAAGGCAAAGGGGGGAGGAGCGTACGTCGAAGAAGTGGAAGATGATGAAGAAAGCGAAAAGAAGCAAGACGACACGATCGATCTCATGAAGGAGCATCCAAAGGGATTTCCGAAGGAAGAGCTTGAAGAAGCGAAGAAACAAGATGAAGTAAAGAAGGCCATGCAGGCAAAGGCCAAGGCGTCAAAGGAAGGAAAGAAGCGAGGATCAAAGGATGCCAAGAAGAAGTCTGAGAAGAACAAGAAGGAAAAGAAGGAAAAGAAGTCCAAAAAGAAGGACGAGGCCAAAGAGGCCAACATCAATGCAGAGGACCTGTAAGAGGTCAAAACGTGATGATTGACCAAGCGGTCATGAGGGCGAAGAGCCCAGCGAAGCCCGTAGGCTTGAGCGTTTTGCTCGAATCAAACGTTTCACCGTGCGCAGCGAAATGTTTCACAACGAATGCGTGTGTTTAAAATGTGTTTCAAGGTGAAAGGGTGATGGAGTGATGCAGAGGCCACATGCGAGAAATGTGTGCAGTAGCTCCAGATGATCCACACACACCACGAACCTACAATGTGAAGACGATGGCTCAATGGAGCATGCGAAAAGAGAGCAGCCCAATGAGGCCTGCGAGAAAGGTGTGGAATTGCTCGAAGGAGCATGAGAGAAATGCGAAGGAAACCTGAACGTGGTTGAAACTCGTTTCACCAACGAGTTTCAATGAGGGCGTAACAGGATGTTCAGTTTCCTACACGACACGTTTCACACCGCTGTGTATAGGTTCAAGACGCACCCCTCGTGGAAGTCGCGAGTGAGAAGAAAAGAGTGCTGAGAACCACTGGTTCTAGGAAGGTTGATTTTAGCCTTTAAGCTTTTAAAGAGTCACCACGACCTCCAAACCCAAAGTGGGGTGAGGAGACAATGAAGCGCAAGGCGGATGCATTGGAGCCTGAGGCGAAGACCAGGCCGAAGATTTTGGTTTCGCAGTCGGAAGCGATTGACGTCGAAGAAGGGGATGAAGAGAAGAAGCCTGAAGAGAAGAAGGAAAAGAAGCAAAAGAAGGAAAAGAAGGAAAAGAAAGAGAAAAAGGAAAAGAAGGATGAGAAGAAGGGCAAGAAGGAGAAGAAGGCCCGATTGAATGACATCAATGCGGATGATTTGTGAAAGACAAAGGATCGTGAGGGCGAAGGCCCAGCAAGCCCGTAGAGCTAGAATGCTCGAGATTGTTTCACAAAGCGAGATGTTTCACCGAAGTACAAGTGTTTAAAATTGGTGTTTGGAAGTGAGAGAAAGGAAAAGAGACGGAAGCTGAAGTAAGCACCGCGTGCGAGAAGAGGGTGCTGAAGCGAAGTCTCGAAAGTGTTACAAAGGAACGAGCACCACGAGCACTACGAATGACACGTTTCAAGAAGTCTCGGACTATCGCATCGACGCCGCAGCCGAGAAAAGTGAGAGCGCAAGTTTTTGCAAGGTTGTGCAAGCGTTAAACAATGCAATTGCACAAAGTCGTTAGTGTTTCAAATCGTTTCACTTTGACGTCCAGGAGCTCCAGACGATCCACACCAAGAACCAAAGAAAGAAGAAGATTACGCGCTCCGCTTGCGGATAGAGTGGTCTTTGATTTATAGGTGCCCCTTCCCCCTTTTTGAAGAAGGGGCAACGCAAAACTGTCTTTAAAGTTTCTGAGTTTTCTACCACGTGTGTTTGCAGATCTTGCATGGGCATGATTTATGCAGACGTTTTTCATGTGGTTTTTTTCGGGGCTTCGCAGTAGGCACAGCTGCTTGAATTCTTCTCTTGTGCAAAATGCAAAGTGCTTGTGCCGCGCTCAGCCCTGCTCAAACAGAGGTTCGTGGTCGTTTGCATACATGGCACATGTGCTTCATTATCACATTTGCAGGCCGTTCTTTAGCGAACTCTTGAGCACATTTCCGGCCTGCAGCTGTGCCCCGCGTGGTAGTTCCTTTCTTGGTTCGCCATGAATTCTGCCATTGACAGCGAGGCGACCTTCACGGCCCGGGCCCTCGAGCTTGGCATGGAGAAGGGCTTCTTAGACTTGTTGATCAAGGCCAATGTGAAGTCCCTGGGTGCGCTGGCTTTCGTCAGCCCGTACCAGATCGGCCAAGCTGATGAGAAGCCCCTGATTGATGCTGTCCGGGATCTCATCCGGCGGGATGTCACTACGCGGGAGCTCATCCCGCTTCGACGCTTGTGGTTCGAGGCTAGCACAACCGTCATGGGTGAGCTCAAGCAAAAGGTTGAGCGTCAGGACTCGGCTGAACCTATTCGCCTGACCATAGCCGAGAGGACCACGAGGCTGGAGGAGCAGAAGAAGCGTCTCGTGGGGGTTTGCATCACGAGTGAGTCCGAACCGTCTCATCGCCTCGTGGACCTTGTTTTCCAGCAGGGTGCTGATCAGCAACTTTCTTGGATCCCCTGGGAGCGTCTGACTAGCAGGGCTCATGAGGTTACCCACTCTCGCAGTGACCTCGGGCTTCAATTCGATGCTGCTGGAAATCTCCGCCTCACCAAGAAGATGCAGGAGAGCTCCTGCACGCTTAGCGGGGAACTACAAATCCGCCAGGCCCTTCAGAGGCGCGCTCTGGCGTACGACCTCGCTCGTTTGTGTGATTTCTCGGCCATGGAGTTGTACCACGAGGAGCTCTTCTTCTTGCTGACTCGAAGCCCCCCGCAGGGCTGTCTCTACGTCACCATGGCCCAGGTCCGCGAGTCCGACAAACAGCTTTTCGTCCGGCTAGCTGAGAAGACTCGTGGTGCTTTGACTGCTCGCCCAGATGGCTCTAAGCCTTTGCAGGTGCAGCTCGAGGCCCTAAAGAGCCACCCCCAGGTCCAGTTCTGCCTCATCCCGGCTCCGAAATCGGCCCGCTTCCAGCCCTACGAGCCGCCTGAGGGTCGCTCCGACCGTGCCGCTGGTGGCAAGAAGGGGCAGCCTCCCAAGGGCAAGGGGGCCCAGACCTCGGGTGGGGGTGGCAAAGGTCCCTCCACCCCCTTCGAGCTGCCGCCGGGCTGTTCTTCTCAACATGAGGGCAAGCCTGTGTGCTTCGGGTTTAACTGCAAGGGCTGCAAGTTTGCTAAACCAGGCAAACGCTGCCGTCGAGGCCTGCACGTCTGCTGGAAGTGTTTCGCGCCGCATTCCTACACTGCCTGCCCGCTGGCAAACTGACTAGCCCTCACGAGCTCGGATACAGGCACTTCGCTGACTTTGGCCCACCTTCTCCAGGTCTTCCACTCTTTGCCGGGTGAGGAGGCCCCTCGCAGCGGCTCCACCGATCAGAGCCGTGTTTTCCAGGCGGGGGCGTATGTGCATGGTGCGTTAACTGGTCTGCGTCGCTCGTGCTCCTTGTATCCAGAGGCAATTAGAACATTTTGCTCTTTTATTTGTGAAAAGACTCCTCCGGAGTTCGTGTTTAGCAACATTGCAATTTTCCAGAACCTGCGTACTGAGCTGCATCGGGATAAGAATAATTTAAGGGCTACTTTGAACTTCGCGGTGGCCATTTCGGCCTTCGAAGGGGGCCAAGTTTGGATTCAGGCTGATCCCGCATCCTCGAAGTCGGGCATTTTGCTCGATGTGACGGCCCAGGGCGTCTACTTCAACGCCCGTGAGCGCCTTCATTGCACATGTCCATGGACCGGCTCACGCGTGGTCGTCGTTGCCTTCAGCCTGCGTGGCTCCGATTGCCTGCCCAAAGCAGAAGCCTTGACCCTTAGTTCTTTGGGGTTTAGGGTCCCTTCCCCTGGCGTTGACAACAGTCACTTGGAGTCCTCTGGCCGCCCCTGCTCCGAGCCGCCAACTGAGGTGCCGCCTCCCTTTCGGTTTAGGCCCCCTCCCCCGGGTATAGTCCCCATGTGCACCCCCGCTGAGACCTCTTGGTCCGCGGGCTCCTCAGCAGCCACACCCGCGCCCTCGAGCTCCTCCCCTCCGTGCACCCCCGCTGCGGCCTGCTTGCCCGCGGGCCCCGACCCACGCGGCGTTGCCGCCTTCCCTCCGGAGCCGCCTGGGGGCAACTTGGCAGCTCCGACGTTTGTTGAGCTGTTTGCTGGTTGCGCTCGTCTCAGCTCTACTTTCGCAGCCGCTGGTGTGCCCGCGTTGGCGGTGGACGGCCCCCGAAATCAGCACAGGCCTTTGCATCCTGTCTGGACGCTCGACCTCACCGTGCCCCTTTGTCAGCGCCTTTTGCGTGAGCGCCTTCTCTCTGGGCGCCTTTTGGGCATTCACCTTGGCCTCCCGTGCGGAACTGGCAGCCGCGCTCGAGAGATCAAGCTCCCAGCTCATCTTTTGCGATCCGGCGCACCGCAGCCTCGCCCCTTGCGCGATGCTACATACTTGCTGGGCCTTCCCGGCCTTTCCTCTGCCGAGCAAGCCAAAGTTGACGCGGCAAATGAACTCTGCCGCTTCGTTGTTTCCCTGCTGCTGGACGCATATGCCAAAGGCTGGACCGTGACCATAGAGAATCCGGTGAACTCCTGGATGTGGAGTGTTCTCGCCTTGTTTGTTCGGCGCACCGGGAAGCGTGCTTTTCAGAGCTGGTATGCCAGCTTGTTCCATGTTGACTTTGACCAGTGTATGTGGGGTGGCCATCGAAAAAAGGCTTCTCGCTTTCTCACCTCCGCATCTGAACTGAGAGGGCTCGTGGCTCCCTGTGACGGTCGGCACACACATGCACCCTTTCAGATCTACCGCAAGGCGGGGGGCTGGCAGTTTGAGACCGCTCTGGAGGCCGAGTATCCCGCTGAGTTGTGCTTGCAGTATGTCTCTCTTCTTGGGGCCCGCCTGAGCCTGCCTGCGCCAGCCCCCAGGCGGCCTCTACTCCGCCAGCCCCGCCGCCGTCCTCCGCTGGTGCCCGAGTACAAGTTTTTCACTCATGTTCGCCCCCTTGAGGGTGAGTTTCGCGAGCTCTCTTCTGAGGGGGGAGGAGACGGGAGCCGCTCAACTTTTGCAGTCCTGCATACCAAGCAGGAGTTTGTGGCCAAGGCCTGTCAGGTACCGCACCCCTTTGATGCATCTGACTCCATAGACGACCAGGTCAAGAGGAACATTTTTGAACTGTTCACTGGTGGCTTCATGCCTTCGGCCAGGAAGAGGCTGTCTATGCAGAAACGTCTGGCCGCCATGAAAAAGGAGCTGGCGGTGGAGGAGCGGCGCTACCAGGCTTCACTTCCTCCACACGCCCAGGCGGTCCTAAAGGGCAAGAACATCCTTCTTTGGCGCAAGCTGCTCGTGGAGACAGGCTTCCCCGACCTGGACGCCCAGGAGCTCATGGAGGGGGTCCCCTTGATAGGAAGGCCAACGAAGTCGCCGCTCTACGACTGGAAAGAGATCCCCGCAACTTGCACTAGGGAGGACCTCCTCGCTTCCTCAGTTTGGCGGAACAAGATGCTTTCGGGGAAAGGGGCTGTGGGAGATGATGCTGATCTCCTGCACAAGGTCTGGCTGGCCACTGAGAAGGAGGTGGAGAAAGGCTACCTCATTGGACCCTACGAGTCCCTCGAAGACGTCAAGGCAACCCTGGGCGCAGAAGAGGTTTGCTGCAGCAGGCGTTTTGGTGTTCGCCAGGGCTCCGGGGATTCTGAGAAATGCAGGCCCATAGATGACTACAAAGAGAGCGGGGTTAACACGGCCTACCATGCCGTGGACCTACTTCAGTTGCATGACGTCGACTACCTAGTCAACCTCTGCTGTTTCGTGGCGAACGCTGCTCACGACGACGGCTTCACCAGGGTAGGGCTGTCGGATGGCTCGACGCTCGTGGGGCGTACACATGGTGATCTTCTGGGGGGGGTCAAGTGGCTGGGGCGTTGCTTGGACCTGGAAAAGGCCTATAAGCAGATCCCGGTTATGGCCAAAGACCTCGTCTTCGCAGTCTTGATGGTTTGGGAACCTGGGTCGGGCTCGTGGAAATACTTCATCTCCAGGAGCCTCCCCTTCGGATGCTGCGCGGCGGTTTACGGTTTCAATAGGGTTTCTAGGTCGTTGCTGCACCTGGCCCTGCATCTCGCCGGCATGATCGGCGGGGTCTATTTTGACGACTTCCCTTTGCTTGAGCCGGCCCCCACTGCAAGGATGGGCTCCCTCGCCATCGAGTGCCTTCTGGACGCCCTGGGTTGGTCGTACGCAGTGGGTGATGACAAGGGCCGCCCCTTTGAAGAGACCTTTGACCTGCTTGGCAAGCGACTCAGTGTTGGGGAGCTTCTCGCTGGTCAGGTGGCCTTGGCAAACAAGCCTAGCCGCGTTGAGAAGATCCGAGCCCAGGCTTCAAGGATGGCATCCTCAGGCTGCGTCACTCGCAGGGAAGCAGCCTCCCTGCACGGCCAACTGAACTTCATGGTGGGCTTCGCGGCTGGACGAGCCATGAAGATAGCCTGCAGGGCCCTGGCCAACATCTGCTACATGAACCGCTCTCCCTCCGTGGAAGAGGTGAAATCGCTGGGGCGCTTCATCCTGAAGACACTCTCTGATGCACGTCCGAGGACCTTCTCACTCCGGGCGCAGGGGAGCCCGGTCTCCATCTTCACTGACGCGTCCTACGAGAAAGGCGTCGCCCGCTGGGGGATAGTTCTGCTGGACCAGAGCTCCAATAGAAGATGGGTGGCAGCGGGCGAGATCCCGCCCAAGCTTGTGGACTTCTGGCTGGCAGAGGGCATCGAGCAGGTCATCTCTCAGGCGGAGGCCTACGCGCTGGTTCTCTCGAGGCGGACCTGCGCCTCGGAACTGGCCGGGAAGAGGTGCATCTTTTACGTGGACAATGACGCCGCCAGGTACACTTGCATTAAGGCCAGCAGCCCCTCTCGTTCTCTACTGAACTTGGCATGCCTCTTCTACGCCAGCGAGTCGGCTGACGGCATCGTGTCTTGGATTGAGCGCGTTCCTTCTGCAAGCAACGTGGCCGACCTCCCTAGCAGGGGGGAAGCTGCGTTGGCAGCGCAGATGATTGGAGGTCAGGTCGTCGACTTCTCTCAGGCTGCGCAGCTTCTAGCAGATGAGTGCATGGACCTGAGCGACCTTCCCTGGGACCTCCTCTCGTCCTCGAGCGGAAACCTTTGGACACTGCCTTTCCTTTGAGCCCGGACGTTTGAGGGGGGAGATGACGGGTCCGTTGAGGGCAGTGAGTACAATCTCCGTATGGTCCCTGGACTCTTTGGCAGGGTCCGTCGAAGGGCAGGGAGCTTTATGTCCCATGAGCCCTTGTGCCCAGCCTTACCTTTTGAAAGTTCCCCTGATCCGAGGCAACTCGCAGTGACGCAAAAGGATTGGAATCTGAGCGTGTTGGGAAGGGTTCGCAATTTTTTACATACTGTCTATTCTTTATGAACCTCTTCCTTTATACATTCAGATGTCGACAGTTTTGTAAATCCTAAAGACTACGCGCTCCGCTTGCGGATAGAGTGGTCTTTGATTTATAGGTGCCCCTTCCCCCTTTTTGAAGAAGGGGCAACGCAAAACTGTCTTTAAAGTTTCTGAGTTTTCTACCACGTGTGTTTGCAGATCTTGCATGGGCATGATTTATGCAGACGTTTTTCATGTGGTTTTTTTCGGGGCTTCGCAGTAGGCACAGCTGCTTGAATTCTTCTCTTGTGCAAAATGCAAAGTGCTTGTGCCGCGCTCAGCCCTGCTCAAACAGAGGTTCGTGGTCGTTTGCATACATGGCACATGTGCTTCATTATCACATTTGCAGGCCGTTCTTTAGCGAACTCTTGAGCACATTTGTCAATTTTTTCCCACCCACCCACCCGGGGGGAGATGACGGGTCCGTTGAGGGCAGTGAGTACAATCTCCGTATGGTCCCTGGACTCTTTGGCAGGGTCCGTCGAAGGGCAGGGAGCTTTATGTCCCATGAGCCCTTGTGCCCAGCCTTACCTTTTGAAAGTTCCCCTGATCCGAGGCAACTCGCAGTGACGCAAAAGGATTGGAATCTGAGCGTGTTGGGAAGGGTTCGCAATTTTTTACATACTGTCTATTCTTTATGAACCTCTTCCTTTATACATTCAGATGTCGACAGTTTTGTAAATCCTAAAGACAAGTTATGGTGGACCGGGGTGTCACTCAAGACCTCCTCACCTCGCCGGGCCTTCCTCTCATCTGCCACCTCCGTCGGCTTCTACGTGAGCTCGCGGATTCTCGGAAGGATCCTCCCCCTCAACCAGCATGGCGGCTTCAGCAGGAGCAGGCCCCGTCGCAGTGGAATGTGCGGTTGCCGCTCGAGGGGCGTGTCCGCCAATTCTCTCAGATTGCTTTCGTCAGTCATGGCGTCGTGGGGGTTCATGTTCGCAGCCATCAGACTCACTCCTCCCATCCCTGCCCCGCTGTGGTACAGGGTAATGAGGTACAAGATGAGGGCTGCCGTCAGGCTAGTTTGCTCCCAGCGGCCCCGGACATTTTTATCCCTACTAGAGGCCCGCTTGCGTGGCTCACCCTCAACGGCCGCATGCTTACCTCCCCGTCCGGACTGTCACCCGCTCCCTTGTCCGCTTGGCCAGCTTGGAGTTGTGGGGCAAGCGAGCAGTGCAGGGGCTTCTCCCCCGAGTCGCTGCTCAGGTGTTTCAGCCCACCCTGGACACCTCGCTTTACTGCCATGTGGGCCGCGCGTGGCGTGCCTGGCTCCTTGACCTATCAGCGATGGCCTTTCGCTGTCTCCGGGCCATCGGAGGCAGCTGGACGGAGCGCCTGCACTCCCAGCCTGAATCTGCTGCAACAGCTGCTGCCTGGGTGGAGCAGCAGCCACACCCTGCATCTGTCCGCCTATGCCCCCTGTGCCGGGATGGTCCGGGCACATGTGCAGCCATGGCTCCTTTGGTGGACCTCCTTCGTGACGCGCTTGAGGCCGATCTGTTCCAGCAAGCCGCCACGGAAGCGCTCTTACAGGCTGCCGCTGACTGGCAAGGGACTTTGCCACGTGACCGCGTGCAAAGTCCCCCCCCTCTATCCTCTCAGAATCTTGGCCGCTGCTCTCTGCCTGGCGCTGGCTGGTTCCCATTCCCGACCGGGAATGCTTGTGTATTGTATCTGGTCATTCCAGGCTCATTGTCTCCTGCTGGGCGTGCGGCGGCCCGGACTTCCCCCACCATTCTGGTGCGATGCAGCCTTGCCCCTGGTGCAAGTCCCTGGTTGGAGACCCTTGCGCCTCCTGCCACACAGTCCTCCATTGTCGCGGACGCTGCCGCTGAAACTCTGGCGCATGCTGCTTATGTCTCTCAGGCTCCAGGTGTCCCCACGCTGTGCCCCGACTGCTGGTGGGAATGGGTTAAGCAGCTGGCCTCCAACCCGCGCTGGCGCAGGCGCCCTATCCCTCTCTCCGAGCCTCTCCACGCGCACCTCCGCACGGCGGCGTCACAGTGCTGCCCAGGTGCCGGCTCTCAGCAGGGTCCCTTGCCCCTGCCCGGACTCCGCCGAGTCCGCCGGTGGCTCCTCAGCAACATCCGCCACTCCGGTGGCTCCGACATGGCGCAGCTTCTCTCTCTCTCTCTCTCTCTCTCTCTCTCTCTCTCTCTCTCTCTCTCTCTCTCTCTCTTTGGCCTCTCTCTCTCTCTCTCTCTCTCTCTCTCCTCTTTCTCTCTCTCTTCTCGTCGTCTCTCGTCTCTCTCTCTCTCTCCTCTCTCTCTTCTCTCTCTTCTCTCTCTTCTCTCTCTCCTCTCTCTTCTCTCTCTTCTCTCTCTTCTCTCTCTTCTCTCTCTCCTCTCCCAGCCTCTCTTTCTCCTCTCTGTTTCTCCTCTCTGTTTCTCCTCTCTGTCTCTCCTCCCTCTCTCTCTCTCTCTCTCTCTCTCTCTCTCTCTCTCTCTCTCTCTCTCTCTCTCTCTCTCTCTCTCTCTCTCTCTCTCTCTCTCTCTCTCTCTCGCTCTCTCTCTTCCGCTCGCAATTCCCGGCCGCAGAGGACACGTGCTGCTCGACGCTCCTGCGTCGCGCCTCACAGGCTCTACAGGCAGAAGGCTTGGCAGTGTACATAGACCCCACCTCGTTCCTTTGCGCGCCGCGTGAAATAGCGCTCCTGTGCGCTGCACGCCGTGCTTTGTTCCCTTTTGGCCTCCGGCCTCAGTGCGTGTTGTGTGTGTGTGTGTGTGTGTGTGTGTGTGTGTGTGTGTGTGTGTGTGTGTGTGTGTGTGTGTGTGTGTGTGTGTGTGTGTGTGTGTGTGTGTGTGTGTGTGTGTGTGTGTGTGTGTGTGTGTGTGTGTGTGTTTGTGTGGGTGTGTTTGGGTGTGTGTGTGTGTGTGCATAAGCTGCAGCTGTGTGGGCGTGCAAGTGGACAGCTCCAGTGAACAGAAGTTAGATCTTAGTTGACCACATGAGACAACTCCCATGAAAGCTGGGTCCACAAGAAGAGCTTGCAAAGAGGGCTTAACTTGTGCCCCAGCCAAAAGAGCGGGGCAGGGACCGTCTCAAGAAGATATAAATCACAACAATAAGACGGATAACAATCATCATAATGCGAAGATACAGTAAATTAATATCATTAGTATTACTATTACTCGTAGAGTAGGTCGCCCCAGAGAGCAATGGCTACATCACACAAATGCTCCTTTATATAGCGTTAACGCGCAATGAGAACTACATTGGGTCTGAACCTCAAAAGGCCGCAAGAGACAGAATCATTTAAGATAACGTCTCTCATGTTTTCCTCCCAGCTCAGCTCCCACGCGTTCACCGACGATGCAGCGATCTGCATCGAACGCATGGTATTGGAAAATCACTTACTATCATTATTGTTGTTTTTGTTAATTACTCTGTTTATGACCCGCTGCGGACAGTCGCTGTAGTAGGTTGAAGAGCCACGCGGGCCATGCAAGCTCAGAGCTGGTGCAGATTTTATGCAATTTTGCGCTGATGCTGGAAAGGCTGCTCCCAGAACAGTAATAGTAATAGTAGTAATGGTAGGTATCATTAGTGATAGTAATATTAACAGAAACATAATACAAATAATATTCGTAATAATATGTAGTACTTGTAGTAGTACTTGTAGTAGTAGTAATAATACTAGTAATAATGAACGAAGTAATAACAACAGACATAATAGTGAGAATTTCAGTATCAGCACAAGGCAATTTGAGAACGAAGGTGTGTAACCGAGCTTGGATTCTGAAAGCATTGAACTCGGATCAGGAATGAAACGTGATGTTGGAGTGGCCTCTCCATCATGTGTGCCTAATTTGTGGATCCTGGTGGACAGTCGCCGTAATAGGTTGAAGAGCCCCAGAAGGAAAACAGCACATGGCCGACCACGAGCTGTTAGAACATTATAGCAATGATACTGGTTAGTAGTAATACCGATAGTAAGAAAAATAATACTAGTACTACTAGTACTAGTAGGGATTCAGGATATTTAGGGGTTTGCGGTTCAAAGAGAGTCCATGTCCGGAGCATGTGCAAAGGTGCAAATGTGCAAAGGTGCAAAGGTGCAAGGGTGCAAGTCTAAAGCCCGGGACTCCAAGACCTTTGAGCTTGATACCACAAAGCGCTAAAGGGTAGTATCAGGGTAGTGTGAATATCACCTCGATTCTTGCATGTATAGCTTGAGTGCGTGCCTTTTTCATGTGTAGTTCTGAGAGCAGCAGCAGTTTGCATGTTGTACATTTTGTTTGCTGTTGCTGTTACCTCTCGAAGGGCCCTTGAGCTGTGGCAGAAAAAGTAGAGTCCGAAGCGCGAGTGAACGCTAACTGGTAGCGGAGCTGCTCCCCTCATTGTGCAGGGGGTAGTTCCAGCTGGCCTTTGGACTGGTTGTGTTTGAGAGGAGTGTGAGAAGAGAAGTCCTCGAATCGTAAGATCGGGGCAACGTTTTTCCGCAGAACAGCAAAGCAGTTGGTTTGTTCAGTGACTGGATCTGACGAAGGAGTTTGGGCATGACAGTTGCAGGCCTCAGATTCCGAAACAAAGCGTATTCTTCAACGCCCAGTGTCACAAAGAATGGAGTGTTCATTTTCGACGGAAACCCTGCTGACTACCATGAATGGGAGTTCAGAACCGAGCTACGCATTGCGGCGCATGAGCAGCAGGAGAAGCGCCGAAAGAAGAAGGAGAAGAGAGAGAAGAAAGACACTTCGTTTTCGTCAGGCGGTCCTGAGCAAGGAAGAGAGGAGAGAACACCTCAGGCGGAAGCGAGTGCTCCAGCCGAAGGTGGTGTAGCCGGGAGACCGGCAGCTGCGTCAGGGAGACCCACCATTCCTGTCCCTGACTCGCCAGCGGCCAGTGTGGTTGCGCACGAGAGCAGCTCAGACGGGGATGATGGGGCTGTGGACACTGTCCTTCGCGTCATGGAGGGTCTCAGAGGAGACGCCTTCCAAAAGGCTAAGGACATTGGAATCGCGACCCTGTCAGGACCCGGTGGGCTAAGGACCCTGATCTCCGAGATCAAGGCAATGGTCTTCCCGCTAGGAACTTTGGAGGCCCAGGCCTTGTTTCGCAGTGGGCAAGCCATTCGAGGTCCTTTGAGTCGTCAGGACGGGGAATCAGTTGTTTCCTATATAGGAAGGAGACGCAGATGGTGGACCTTGATGACGCAGCTCGATCCGAGGATATCTCTGTCGGATAGTTTGAGAGCAGAATTGTTGCTCGAGTTGAGCGGGTTGTCACGTGATCAGCAGTTGATGGTGAAGGCTTGTTCAGGCGGTGCCCATGATTTTGAGACATACGCAAAGATCATGACCGAGCATCATGGGTTGATTCACTTGCGGGGGAACAAACTACTTGATTCAACACCCCTTCGAAGCCCTGGTTTCGATAGAGATACCCGCAGATGGCAGTCGAAGGGATCAGGCAAGTTTGGGAGCCGTTCACCAGGGTCAGTGACAACCGCTTATGTGAGTGATGTCATTGATTCAGCCTATGTATCGCAAGAACATAGGGCAGATGATCATTATGCTGATGAGTGGTACCAAGATGAGGTACAGGAAGATGCCGAAGATGTGGGGTGGAACGCTTGGACTGATCAGCCAGGTGGTTCACCAGGATATGCTCCTTCCGAGGAGGACGTGATCGTTTCCGACAGCGAGGTTGCCGTCGCCTTGAATGCGATGGAGGACTGCGACTACGAGAGCTTTCCCGAGGCCACGGGCGAAGCGATTCAGTTGCAGTGTGCGGCTCATGTTGCATTGGGCAAGGCAGGTAAGGGTAAAGGATCATCCGGTGGCAAGGGAAAAGGATTTCCGGTAGTGCGCAGTCGCTTGCAATTGTCAGTTGAAGAGAGGAAAGAGAAGCTCAGGGAACTCAAGGCTAAGAGCCGTTGCCTGCGATGTGGGCAAACAGGACATTGGAGCGGGGATCCTCAATGCCCCAAAGGTCGATCTTCACAGTCCGGTTCGGATGGCAAGGGCAAGTCCAAGGGAGATTCCAAGGGATCGAAGTCGGGAACAAAGCAAGCTTTCATGGCAGTTCCAGTGACTCGTGAGAGCGAGGATGACATGGAGTGTGTGTACATTGACAGCGGCCCCTCAGAAGGTAGCCCTAAAGCGTACATGGCCTATCGCAGGGAAGGCGCTCGAGCTTCAAGGACAGCCAGGAATGCCGCTCGAGACACGATGCCTCCCGGTGGGGACCGTGTCTTCACTGTTGGCCAGCATCGTGGGCTTAGTTTCGAGGAGGTTCTTCATCGCTACACTGCATATGTCATCTGGGGACGTTCCTTGAAATCGGCGGGATCTCGGGATTTGGCGGCATTTCTGAATTGGGTTCAGAATTACTACATCGTGAATGAGGAAAGCATGGAGGTAATGAGGCGAGACATCCCTCTAGATGAGGTGCCGCAAATGCCTGGAGCGCAAGCCCAGCAGAGTGTTGCGGTGCCAGCAGCATCCTCCCATGTGACAGCCAAAAGCAAGCCCCCAAATCCCCCTTTGCCTGTGAGTTGTCAGACATGCACCAACTTTTCGTACGTGGGGACAAATGCCTACGTGACAGTGAAGACCTGCAGGGTGTGTGGAAAGGTGTTTAAGGAGAAGAAGACCTTCGAGAAGAAGGACCCCACATTGTGCAGGCATGCAAACACCAGTAGACTGGGCTCGAACAAGGCCATCATGAAGACTTTCTGTAAGGATTGTGGTCATGTGATAGATGAAATGCCCCAAGCAGAAGCCCGAATCAGGCGTCAGGCTGCGCAGGAACTTGAGACTGCGACTTCGGCTTCGTTTGATCTCATCTCGAACATCTCTAGGAATGTGCTCGATGAGGCAAGCCTGGATGCAACGCAGACCATGACATTGTTGGATGAGTTCAGGTCCCAAGTTGAAGATTGTCTAGTGGCCCAGAATGTCGAGGGTATTGACGACCCAAGGATTTCCCCGAAGGACTTACATGAGATCCTCAATGATATCGTGGAAGCAGCAGTGGTATCTCAGGAATCTCCGTCATCCGTCAGAGCGTCGCCTGGCGAGATGTCGAGAGCTGCACCGCAACGGGCAGCTGGCTCCGGATCGCAAGACCGGAGAAGGACAGATGGGGAAAGCGCAGCGTACATGTCCATGAAGACCAACTCCCTATCCTCGGTGGTTCCGTTGACCCTTGCGGAAGTGGATATTTACGATCATGAGGATATTTGGGGTGTCTTGGATGATGGTGCGAATAGCTCAGTTTGCGGGGAGAGATGGTGTGACAACGCCCAGATGAAACTGGCCAAACTGGGTTTCGAATTCCCCTGGTTGAGCCAAGAAGGCATTCAGTTCAGAGGACTTGGTGGGATGACTAAGACCTTGGGCGATCGACGTCTGTGCTTCTGCATTCAATGCGAGTATCAGGGTGAGAAGGAGGATGGTAAGGACCCGCTAGTCCCCGGTATCCTTGATTGCCACGTGACCTCTGGGAGCGAAACGCCCCTACTTCTATCCTTATTCGCGCAGAGCACCCTGGGTTTGTTGAAGGACATGAAGTCGTTCACCTGCTTGATACAGAGGAACAATGGAGAACTGTGGAGGTTGCCCCTGTTCAGGGTTAAAGGGAGCAATTTGCTTGCAGTGAACCTCTCCTCCGGTATCCGCCTTCTGGATCGAATACCTCGTCCGCTTCGACCTTACAGAGCGCCGTTGGAGAGGAAGATTCGTAAGGGTGAAGGGCACGAAGGTTTGACATCCAAGGACTTAGATCCCCAGAAGCAGAACACAGATTCCCAGAAGCAGGACACAGATTCCCAGAAGCAGAACACAGATTCCCAGAAGCAGGACACAGATTCCCAGAAGCAGGACACAGATCCCCAGAAGCATCCCGATGAGCGTAAGAAGCATCCTCAAAGGATTAAGGACAAAGGCGCACACACCTCAGTCACAGATTCGGGTGGAAACCACCAGGGTAACATTCAGGCCAACGTGGCAAGCAGTGATCCTCGGTCTAGCAAGCAGATGCCGAGTGTCCACATTGTCTCTACGGGGACTCGATGGCGCCGCGAGGCCTCATCTTATATCTACAGCCCTGGGCAGGAGTCTGCGAAGGCATTGGCCGAGGCCCTGCACGGGCCCTTGACTGGGAGCACTGCGATCTTGATCTGCAATTGTCTGGATTTTTCTAACCCCGAGATTCAGTCGGGTTCGTTGTCCTGGCTGAAGGGGCATATTGGCTCGCACCCTGGAAACCTGACCAATCAATGGGAGAATCCTGAGTTCAGAGACATGATCTTCTACGTGCACCAGGCTGTTCGCGAGGCACCCGCGTCTTTGGAGCAGATTATCTGCATTTGCATTTGCACCCAGGGCCGACACAGGTCTGTGGCGAGCAGCGTAACTTTGGCACAGGCGCTCTCTGGAAAGTTCCGCACAACGATCAGCCACGACGGAATGTGCAACGGCTCTTGGGACAGTATGGCGGGCAGATGCCGCGGATCCTGCGGGACATGCGACCACAGCGCGCACGAAGCTCAGCTGGCGGTAGTTGAGCACATGGAGAGAGTAGAGGAGTACCTCTCCTGGAAGGGTCGCATCGACGCTCCGTCTTGCATCCGCCATTTTGAGATCGCCGCGCGACCGTCGCTTGGAGCCGGCCCGAAGAGCAAGCCGATGCCTAGGCCAGGAGCGGGACGCCCTAGGCCATCTGCGAGTTCTGCCGCTGGGACGGTCGATTTGACCGAGGCCGAGGAGGAGCCCAGTTCCAGCCGCAGGCCAGCGCGCAGATTTTCTTTGGAGACCCGTGATGAGCGTGGCGTATCTGTTTTGGAGGCCCAGAATAAGGCGCTGATGCAACGAGTCGAGTCCCTGGGTCGCGAGGTTGGCACTCTGAGGAACGAGCTGCGCCGTCGCTCGAGGTCGAGGAGGCGATCGCGGAGCAGGAGACGCTCTAGGTCCAGAGGCCGGGACAGGCGGACCAGATCGAGATCCCCGATTGCACGGGCAGAGGAGCGGGCGCCCTCTAGGCATACTTTTGCGATTAGGACGATGCCAACGCGCGGCGCGTCGGGCAATGCTGCGATTGCTACAGGGGGCCGAGTTCTTGACACCGATTCCTGGCACGAGATCCCGTATGAGGACCTTCTTTTGGATAAGCGCCCCGAACCAGGCTGTGATTGGCGCGCTATTACGCCGTACGACTGTTGGCCTCCGGGCATGTTGGATCAGCTGCGTCGTTTGGCCACTGAGTATATGCAACCTTGCGGGGGCAGGCACTTGAAGAGAGCCAAAGCTGCAACCTGGATAGGACCAGGAGTTGGCAACGACTTTAGGGAGAACGCTCGTGTCGGCTTTAAACTGATTGCATATGACGAGGTGGGGCAGCGGCCAAGCAAGTCTGCGCTGGATCCAAGGTTTCCCGCTGGATGGTGGGAGGCCGGCTGGGCCTATCTTCCTCGGACGGGATGGCGATGGATCGGCTATGCGCACGCTGGATCTACTCGTTTGACAACTGGCATTGCTGGAGATGCAGAGTTTGTTCTCGTCGCACAGTTCCCATATGAGGCTGAAAAGAGAGCGTATGTGACGACAAGGATCATGACAAGGGAGCAGATGGGTGTGTTCAATAGGGAGTTGAGGACATTGGAAGAGATGGATACATTCACTGCAATGGTAGCTGGAGTGCAAACCCAGCGGGAAGACTCAACCTCGTTGATCAAAGCCCCGAAGTGCACCTTCTTGATCCATGACAATGCCCCAGTAGATCTCCCCGGCATATCTGAACACTCAGCGAAGGACTTCAAGTGGAATCGGTTCACCCACGAGGTGAACGAGTTCAGGCCGGGCCTGGTTTTGTACAAATCAGGGGATCCCAACTCGAATCTGTGCATCAACCTGTTTTGTGAAGCCGATGCTTCCGATATCAATGTATGTGTGCTTGCACCGTTGGGCAAGCTGAGTGCAGATGACATTGGGGCTGAGGTGGTTGAAACGGCCGGTGATGCATGCATTGCTTGTGTTGGACCGTTGGCCAGCCGCATTGTTGAGAGCTTGAGCTCATGGTGTGAAGGAACAGGATACACCCCGAAGGCCTTCTGTGACATGAATGGAAGCAGCTTCTTCAACGCGATAATGTCCATCGGTGAGGAGGCTTACCTTGATGCGATGAGCACAGCTTATGTAGCAGGGGCAGGGGTAGATACGGATGCTGAGGGTTTGGGAGCTTCGGATGAAGAGCTAGGAGGAGATGGCGATGTAGCGCCCCACGATCCCGAACAGCAGCACCCAGATCCTGAAAACCAGGAGCCAGAGCTAAGCCCTGCAGATCGCGAACGAGTGTGGTTGGAATCCTTGCCACTCCCAGGCACTCCGCAAACAGAGGCCAAGCGAAGGGAGGCCTGGAGGCGTTTGCCCCAGCGCGTTCGCGTGGCACTTCGTCGCTTGCATAGGTCCTTCAACCACCCCACTCCTAGGACGTTGCAGGCCATCCTGAGAGCAGGAGGAGCAGCCAAGGAGTTCATCGAAGCGGCCAAGCTCATCAAGTGCGAAAGCTGTGAGCGCACGAGCCCCAAGCCCAGGTCACACCCTGTGGGGGTTGGCCACGGGAACTACGTGTTCGGGGACACGGTAGGAGTGGATGTCCTAGAGACGACAGACTCAAACCGTCGCCGATATCAGTGTTTCAACGTGGTAGACCTAGCAACGGGCTTCCAACAGATCGAGTTGCTGAGGGAAGTCACCAAGGACAGTCAAGGACCTCCTCCGTCAGAGATGTGTCTTGAAGCGTTCCAGAGGTGGATTACTTGGGCGGGCCTCCCGCGGACCGTGATGCTGGACAGAGGTACTCATAACAGAGGAGCCTTTGTGAGCTATCTCACGGAGAAGGGGGTGGACATCAGGTTCGCCGCAACCGAGTCGCCCCACATGCTCGGTAAAACCGAGAGGCACGGAGGGCTCGCGAAGGCGGTCATCCGAAAGACCGTGGCAGGCGTGAGCACCGTTGGGCCTGAGGCGATGAGGAGTGTGATCCAGGAAGTCGTCGCCGTCAAGAACATGTCCATGAACGTGTCGGGTTTTTCGCCTAGTCAGTGGGTGTTAGGTCGCAACCCGAGGGAACCCGGCACGCTCACCGACGAGGACACCTGGAACGACATCGGCGCCATGGAGGGCAAGTTCAGCGGTGCCGAGGCCTTTGCTCTAAGACAGAAAAGCCGCATCGAAGCAAAGAAAGCAATGGTGAAACTGGACACCAGCCGTAGGATCCAGAAAGCGCTAACAAAGAATGCGGTACCGATCAAGGAAGAGTACAACACCGGTGACTATGTCGTGTATCGGAGAGACGCCCAAGCGGGCGGCACGAAATGGAGCACGACATCCAGGGTAATCGGTAGAGAAAGCGCAGAAGCGATATGGGTGGTGAACGGAGGGGTCCCAGTCCTTTGCTCGACTCACTCGCTGAGGCCGGCATCTGAGGAGGAAGTGCTGGCGCATTGCCTTCTTAACGGGATACCTGTTCTACCTGAGACGCTTACAGAGGGTCCTAAGAAGAGAAAGAAGGGATACGTAGATGCGAGAGAAGAAGAAGAAAAGCCGGAAAGGAAATCGAGCAAGCCGAGCGCATCAGCTAGGAAGAGAAAGCAGGAAGAAATCGAACCTCCTGAAGCCCCAAGCTCGAGCTCAAGTTCAAGCAGCTCATCTGATGAGGAGGACCAGCGCCCGAGCAGAGATGTACAGGCCAGTCAGGAAAATGAGGCGGACGTCGTACAAGGCACGATGAACATCATCGACTCGGAGCAGGACGCCATGGACGCATTGGAGGCAGGTGATTTTCGCCCAGCAACGTGTTTAAGGCTCCTAAATGAGGCACCCTTAGTGAGAAAAGGAAAACGTGGAGCTGTGAGAGATGGACGCGCCTACAGCTTCGGAGTGTATGCACATGGCGGGTTCACGGGGGTCACCGAGTCGACGAAACGACATCCGAACTTGGTCAGTTACCTGAATGGCTACATGAAGGCGAAGGGTGCATCAGGCATGTGGTCATCGCTCCAGATTGGTAGGGACCTAAAGGCTTTGCCCCACAAGGACTCAAACAACCTGAAAGGCAGCGTGAACCAGATCACGACATTGGGAAATCACGCAGGTGGCCAATTGTGGCTGCAAAATCAGGACGGAGACGTGATGATGAATGGAGTTCCAGGCCGTGTCTTGGAGTGCCATAACAGGATAGCGTCTTTCGATCCCAATGAAGTCCACGCTACCTTGCCTTTCGATGGAGAACGATGGTCAATCAGCGCATTCACAAGTAGGGGAATCATGAATCTTGGGGATCGGGAGCGGGACATGCTGAGAGAGTTGGGTTTCGGCATCGAAAATGACTGCGTTCCCGTGTCGTGTCTAGGAAGTGTTGAGGAACCACCCAATGACGTGAAAAAGGAAGAGACCTCGAGAGAATCGCCTGAACGTATGGCAGATCTGATGGGTGTATGCGGAGACGAGGACCACTGGAAGGTTGGTCGGAATGTGTGCTTCAGAGTACATGTGAAGCCCCGCCGCTTGATGTTTGACCCCAAGGAAAATGATTTCCCAGGTGACCTCGGCAAGATTGGCTACTCTAGGGAAACCCATAGGTACTTCGAGGACGGCACGAACGATGTCGTGCATGACGAGTGGGGAATGATCCAAGAAGCAAATGGAGCAACGAACTTGGCGTGGACCGGTTTCAGCTTGTTTCGTGTCCGGAGCGAAAGCCCGGTTGATCTATCGAGTTTGCCCGAGGTGAAGATGGATGATCCGGAGTTCCGAGCCTTCATGGCGGAAAGGTTTGGTATGGAGGTGGAAGCTCAAGCGGGCAAGAAACCCCGGAAGATAAACGTGTTCAAGTGTGAAGACCACGTTAAGGAGGGGATCAAAGGTTCGCGCCGAGATGAGTGGAACAAATATCAAAAGTATAACGCCGCGATACCCATCCGAGGAGAGATGTTGCGACAACTCCTCGATGAGGGTCACAAACCCATACCGTCACAATGGATTGATGTTGACAAACACGAACATCAAAAGGGGAGTGCAGATTATTCCCCGAAATATCGCAGTCGCCTAGTGGCATGCGGTCATCTTGAGGCAGTAGGAAGGGACGAGCTGCGGTGCGACAGCCCGACAGCAGATTCCGAAGTGCACTGTCTCATCGCGAGCTATGCAGCATCGCGGTGCCTCAAGTTGTATTGTGGCGACATTTCGAGTGCATACTTTCAATCCTCGCCTTTGGAGCGCGTGCTGTTGATGAGGCAGCCAACAGGTGGACTACCCGATGTGCCCGAGGATGCCATGCTTCTATGCAGGCTCCCGATCTACGGGACCATTGACGCGGGGCGCGGGTTCTACAACAGATTGAGCTCGGAAGCGAAGACGGAAGGATTGACAGTGAGCAAGATCGCTCCGGGTCTCTACTACCTGTTGGGCACTGATAACTTGCCGGCCATCATCCTCGCAACGCACGTGGACGATCTACTATGGTGCGCAACGCCCGAAGGAAGCGACACCATGGAACGAATCCTGGCGAAGTTTGACGTAGGAAAGATAGAGCACTCAGATTTCAGGTTTTGCGGTCGAAGATTCCGGCAAGGTGAAGACTACAGTGTGCGTATAGATGCAGAGGACAACACGAGACAGATCAGGAAGATTGTGATCCCGGCAGGGCGCAAGGCAAGTGATCACGCGACCGAGGCAGAAGTGACAAGCCTCAGGAGCGTGGTAGGATCCTTAGCTTGGGTAGCGCGTTTTGCCAGACCAGACCTTTGCTACAAGGTGAACTGTTTGCAACGGGCCTGCTCAACCGCGACAGTGGCTGATCTCAAAGAGGCCAACCGCGTTGTGGAATTGGCGCAAGCAGATCAAGGAAGATCGTTGTACTACCCAGCCGGAGCGTTGAATTGGAGTGATCTCTGCATTGTAACGTTCTCAGACGCTTCATTCGCACAGGAACCAGGTTTCCGAAGTCAACAGGGCAGGCTGCACTACTTGACGGCAGAGAGTGCGTCCGACGGCAATGACCACGTCGCTCATGTCTTGAGTTTCGGATCGACAACGATCAAGCGGGTGTGTCGCAGTACTTTGGCATCGGAGACTTTTGCCATGCAGACGGCAGTGGAGAACGGTGACCGTTTGAGAGCAATCATCTGTGAGTTACGCGGACAGTTGCCAAGCCTGAAGGGATGGCTAGAAGAGACTCAGAGGCAGATGAAGCACTTATGGGTCACGGATTGTCGAAGTTTGAGCGACCACCTCAACAGCCAGCAAGTGAACAAGGTGTCGGACAAGCGACTCATGATCGAACTTACTGCAATGAGGCAACAACTTTGGGATGGTGAGACAGCGACATGGCAGTTGTACAGTCCACATGGAGACAGGCTTCGCTGGACGGATACTGCAACCCAGATCGCCGATGCCCTCACCAAGTCGATGAAACCGCATCAGCTATTTCGCTTGATGGAAGAAGCGAGTGTGCAGCTATCAGATCCCGATCGCAAGCTCACCAAGAGTGAAATCCAGAAGATGACTACAAATGAGTGACGGGAACAAAGATGTACAGACATCACCGTCAGGAATAGTGAGCTAGCAGTTGCCAAGGAATCGCAGTCTGGTAGAGGCCTATCTGTATAGACACTGTATAGTCACACTCAGAATTCAACCAAAACCTCGAATGAGCCCCAGGCACGCATCAATAAGTAAGACGGGTGTGAATATCACCTCGATTCTTGCATGTATAGCTTGAGTGCGTGCCTTTTTCATGTGTAGTTCTGAGAGCAGCAGCAGTTTGCATGTTGTACATTTTGTTTGCTGTTGCTGTTACCTCTCGAAGGGCCCTTGAGCTGTGGCAGAAAAAGTAGAGTCCGAAGCGCGAGTGAACGCTAAGGTAGTATCACGTCGTCTCTTGCCAGTCAGAGCCTCCACCCAGTCGTGGCTGTGCAGCTCTGTTCATCTGTTCAAGTTGGAGCGGCTTCGCCGTGTCCTGAAGGAAAAGGGATGTCCCGGCCCCGATCCCGAAAAACCCTCTGAGAACTAGAGCCTTAAATTCTTTTCTCGTTTGACTCTGAGCTCAATAAGTCAGAACTTACTTGGCGCATCCTGAGCTGGAGCCTCGCAATTTTGGCTTGGTTCTGGATTGAAGGCTGTGCGGCTATGCGCGTCTTGTGTTATTGTCCCGAGCCCTGTCAGAAGCAAAAGAATGGCGCGTGCCAAGCCACCTAGCTTTGTTTGAACTTTCCGGCAACGGCTCATCGCAAAGGCATCGTGCAAAATTTCATGCTTGAATGCAGCCTCCAAGCTCATGTCGTGACTTCGACGAAGAAGTTATTACGACACTACGAGGATGGACGGAAAGAACTTCTCACGAGCTATTAGCGAGCGCGCGCATCAATTAATCATTGTACCTCCCCACGATGCCCCTCTAACTAGTGAGACAGCTTAGCTTATGTGAAAGTAAATGTCCTAACGCATTTCACAGGGGCGCTGCCTATGCACTTCACCAACAAACGGTCAAGACCTCCTGTGAATAACCACACGGCCGCGGCTCTAGTGCCGGTGCTGTCGGTTTTTGTAGGTGTTTTGCAGAGTAGGCACATGCCAGGATGGGAGGCAGCTTTGTTGCGCAAGCTGTTGTCTAATTTGTCTGTCTTGGTTTCTGTCCAGTACCTGTCGGCGCGCCTTGCTACAGTTTCGGCTTCAGACCCCAGTCAGCTGAGACATCTTCGGCGCACTCCAAAATGGCAAATATGGCAATGTTTCTGTTTGCGTGTGTCGGTGCCATCTTGACTACCGGCATGGAGATCCCCGCTACAGACCAAGCAGATGAGTCATGCGCATTGCAGAGCAAAGCCTCGGACCACGTGACGGAGAAGCTGGAGACCTCGGAGGAGCGACTTGCAGCAACGCAAGCAGCAACGCAAGTGACGTCCGAATCCGGAAGTGGTGCAACACATTCACCTCCTCCCCAATCAGGCATAAGGGCAAAGTCACCGCCATCAAGCCTTCTGAAGCGATGTGGGCATGGGATGTGAAGCAGGCAGCTGGCATTTCAAAACTAAACAGTTTTTAGTTAGCTGTATATGTGTCCCAGTAACTGATGGTTGACTCTGTATGCTGTGTGGCATGAATTGCAGGTGCAGTTCCTGACCGACACAGGTGACAAACTCATGGCCTTTCGGATGCTCAACCGTTTCGAGTGGCACGGTTGAAGGCGAGGGATGGGAACCTGAGAATGCGTTCAGGGACGATATTGATGCGGCATGGGGCGGTAGCCAGGATAGGAGTGGAAGCTTCTACATTGGGGTCCATTGCCCCACTGCGGTGAAGTTGGGGGAGGTGAGGCTTCAACAAGAGCCTCATCCGTCGAGCCCACCTGTTGACAAGGTGAAGATTGAATTCACCATGGATGATGTCGGTGGGAGTACTCAATGGCTTAAGTTCTGCGAGGTGTCAATCAGCCAAAACAGCTTGGAGACGATATGGTTTCTCGGAATTCTCTATTACGTTGAGGCTTGCCACATGTGCAATAAGAACTGGTGTGCCGGACCGTACATGCAGCACGACACCTACGTTGAAGTTGATCATCTGAAAGGACCTTCCTTGGCAGATGCGCCTGAGGGCTGCGGCGTGATCACCTCCGATACCAGGATGGCCCGCAACCCCGAGACAGGAGCAATCTACGCCCTGGTTCCTTTCATGTCGAAAACTTCAAGCCCATGTGATTGCACGACGGAGTGGATGAGCGGACATGTTCATGTGGTCTTCAATGGTTGTGCGGATCACAGCCATGATGGGCAAATTTGGTGCTACGTTGTCGGAGGAAGGAAATGCTCGCAGGCAACAGAGTCTTCTTGGTTTCCTGGCGCATATTTTCTTACTGGGTGCACGCCTTCCACTCAGTCCACTCCAAAACAGGTACTTGGCCGCCCATTAACGCTGAACGGCAAGACCTTGCTGGCTACTGCCACTGCAACGCGTGAGTTCAAGGATTTGGCTGATGGGTGGGGATTCCCCGCCAGTAACTTGGGTCACCCAATGCTGTCAGCAGTGAGCGGCAGAGCTGCGCATATGCCTCAGGAATTGCTGGAGGAAGCCCTGCGTGGCTTTGGCACCGGAAATCCATTCCCAGAGGCAACCGGCACTCTGGCGATGGAATCGCAACTCCCGCACATGCTTGCTGTGGCACAAGCGGAGCTTGCCAGTGCGGGTCCTGAGGAGCGTGAGCATTGGAAGGAAGCGGGCTTGGCAGAGCATGCGTCAGTTGGTTCCTTTGCGAAGCTTTGCTTGGAGTTGCTTGTTGCAGGAGCACCGCCAAGGTTGTTGCGCCGCGCCATCAAGGCACAGGAGGAGGAACTTGTGCATGCTCATCTGTCTCTGGGCCTTTTGCGTGGTGCACACCATGAACTCCAATCGCCCACTGTCTTCAAAAGCTTGAGGGTCGACCTCGCCAATGCTACCCAGACAGATGGCCATGGTGGCTTTGCCATCGAACGCTTGGACCTCCCAGAACACAGCTTTGAAGTACGGCGTGACTTTGTTGCGCTCCGAAATGCCGCCATCGAGGAGGGTCTCATCGGCGAGGGCCGTGCGGCGCTTCGGCTCTTCCAGCGCTCTCTTGAAACTCTGCATGGCCAGAGCGAGGGTCAGCTGGATGGCCGCGAGGTGTTGTCGGAAGGCCGCCGGGCTCTTGCGAAGATCGTTTGGGCGATTGCGAACGATGAGGCGCGCCACGCCGCATTGGCCATGGAGACCATTGAGTGGCTTTCGGGGAGAGACAGCAGACCACAGGCACAGCTGCCCAAAGTGCAGATCAGCTCAGGGACTGTGGTCGTGCAGGAGGTTGCATAAGCTGCAGCTGTGTGGGCGTGCAAGCGGACAGCTCCAGTGAACAGAAGTTAGATCTTAGTTGACCACATGAGACAACTCCCATGAAAGCTAAGATGGGGCCACAAGACAAGCTTGCAAAGAGGGCTTAGCTTGTGCCCCAGCCAAAAGAGCGGGGCAGGGACCGTCTCAAGAAGTCATAAATCACAACAATAAGACTGATAACAATCATCATAATACGAAGATACAGTAAATTATTATCATTAGTACTACTATTACTCGTAAAGTAGGTCGCCCCTAGAGCAATGGCTACATCACACAAATGCTCCTTTATATAGTGTTAACGGGCAATGAGAACTACATTGGGTCTGAACCTCAAAAGGCCGCAAGAGACAGAATCATTTAAGATAACGTCTCTCCTGCTTTCCTCCCAGCTCAGCTCCCAAGCGTTCACCGACGATGCAGCGATCTGCATCGAACGCATGGTATTGGAAAATTACTTACTATCATTATTGTTGTTTTTGTTAATTGCTCTGTTTATGACCCGCTGCGGACAGTCGCTGTAGTAGGTTGAAGAGCCACGCGGGCCATGCAAGCTCAGAGCTGGTGCAGATTTTATGCAATTTTGCGCTGACGCTGGAGGCTGCTCCCAGAACAGTAGTAATAATAGTAGTAATGGTAGGTATCATAAGTGATAGTAATATTAACAGAAACATAATAGAAATAATATTCGTAATCATATGTAGTACTTGTAGTAGTACTTGTAGTAGTAGTAACAATACTAGTTATAATGAACGAAGTAATAACAACAGACATAATAGTGAGAATTTCAGTATCAGCACAAGGCAATTTGAGAACGAAGGTGTGTAACCGAGCTTGGATTCTGAAAGCATTGAACTCGGATCAGGAATGAAACGTGATGTTGGAGTGGCCTCTCCATCATGTGTGCCTAATTTGTGGATCCTGGTGGACAGTCGCCGTAATAGGTTGAAGAGCCCCAGAAGGAAAACAGCACATGGCCGACCACGAGCTGTTAGAACATTATAGCAATGATACTGGTTAGTAGTAATACCGATAGTAAGAATAATAATAATACTAGTACTACTAGTACTAGTAGGGATTCAGGATATTTAGGGGTTTGCGGTTCAAAGAGAGTCCATGTCCGGAGCATGTGCAAAGGTGCAAATGTGCAAATGTGCAAAGGTGCAAAGGTGCAAGGGTGCAAGTCTACAGCCCGGGACTCCAAGACCTTTGAGCTTGATACCACAAAGCGCTAAAGGGTAGTATCAGGGTAGTATCACGTCGTCTCTTGCCAGTCAGAGCCTCCACCCAGTCGTGGCTGTGCAGCTCTGTTCATCTGTTCAAGTTGGAGCGGCTTCGCCGTGTCCTGAAGGAAAAGGGATGTCCCGGCCCCGATCACGAAAAACCCTCTGAGAACTAGAGCCTTAAATTCTTTTCTCGTTTGACTCTGAGCTCAATAAGTCAGAACTTACTTGGCGCATCCTGAGCTGGAGCCTCGCAATTTTGGCTTGGTTCTGGATTGAAGGCTGTGCGGCTATGCGCGTCTTGTGTTATTGTCCCGAGCCCTGTCAGAAGCAAAAGAATGGCGCGTGCCAAGCCACCTAGCTTTGTTTGAACTTTCCGGCAACGGCTCATCGCAAAGGCATCGTGCAAAATTTCATGCTTGAATGCAGCCTCCAAGCTCATGTCGTGACTTCGACGAAGAAGTTATTACGACACTACGACGATGGACGGAAAGAACTTCTCACGAGCTATTAGCGAGCGCGCGCATCAATTAATCATTGTACCTCCCCACGATGCCCCTCTAACTAGTGAGACAGCTTAGCTTATGTGAAAGTAAATGTCCTAACGCATTTCACAGGGGCGCTGCCTATGCACTTCACCAACAAACGGTCAAGACCTCCTGTGAATAACCACACGGCCGCGGCTCTGGTGCCGGTGCTGTCGGTTTTTGTAGGTGTTTTGCAGAGTAGGCACATGCCAGGATGGGAGGCAGCTTTGTTGCGCAAGCTGTTGTCTAATTTGTCTGTCTTGGTTTCTGTCCAGTACCTGTCGGCGCGCCTTGCTACAGTTTCGGCTTCAGACCCCAGTCAGCTGAGACATCTTCGGCGCACTCCAAAATGGCAAACATGGCAATGTTTCTGTTTGCGTGTGTCGGTGCCATCTTGACTACCGGCATGGAGATCCCCGCTACAGACCAAGCAGATGAGTCATGCGCATTGCAGAGCAAAGCCTCGGACCACGTGACGGAGAAGCTGGAGACCTCGGAGGAGCCACTTGCAGCAACGCAAGCAGCAACGCAAGTGACGTCCGAATCCGGAAGTGGTGCAACACATTCACCTCCTCCCCCATCAGGCATAAGGGCAAAGGGCTGGCGAATCACCGCCATCAAGCCTTCTGAAGCGATGTGGGGATGGGATGTGAAGCAGGCAGCTGGCATTTCAAAACTAAACAGTTTTAAGTTAGCTGTATATGTGTCCCCGTAACTGACGGTTGACTCTGTATGCTGTGTGGCATGAATTGCAGGTGCAGTTCCTGACCGACACAGGTGACGAACTCATGCCATTGCCTCCTTTGGGATGCGCAACTGTTTCCAGTGGCACGGTTGAAGTCGAGGGATGGGAGCCTGAGAATGCGTTCAGGTACGATATTGATGCGAAATGGGGCGGTCGCAAGGATGCGAGTGGAAGCTTCTACATTGGGGTCCATTGCCCCACTGCGGTGAAGTTGGGGGAGGTGAGGCTTCAACAAGAGCCTCATCCGTCGAGCCCACCTGTTGACCAGGTGAAGATTGAATTCACCATGGATGGTTTCGGTGGGAGTACTCAATGGCATAAGTTCTGCGAGGTGTCAATCAGCCAAAACAGCTTGGAGCCGATATGGTTTCTCGGAATTCTCTATTACGTTGAGGCTTGCCACATGTGCAATAAGAACTGGTGTGCCGGACCGTACATGCAGCACGACACCTACGTTGAAGTTGATCATGCGAAAGGACCTTCCTTGGCAGATGCGCCTGAGGGCTGCGGCGTGATCACCTCCGATACCAGGATGGCCCGCAACCCCGAGACAGGAGCAATCTACGCCCTGGTTCCTTTTTCAAGCCCATGTGATTGCACCACGGAGTGGATGAGCGGACATGTTCATGTGGGCCTCAATGGTTGTGCGGCTCACAACCATGATGGGGAAATGTGGTGCTACGTTGTCGGAGGAAGGAACTGCTGGCAGGCAAGAAAGTCTGCGCGGTTTCCTGGCGCATTTTTTATTTCTGGGTGCACGCCTTCCACTCAGTCCACTCCAAAACAGGTACTTGGCCGCCCATTAACCCTGAACGGCAAGACCTTGCTGGCTGCTGCCACTGCAACGCGTGAGGTCAAGGATTTGGCTGATGGGTGGGGATTCCCCGCCAGTAACTTGGGTCACCCAATGCTGTCAGCAGTGAGCGGCAGAGCTGCGCATATGCCTCAGGAATTGCTGGAGGAAGCCCTGCGTGGCTTTGGCGCCGGAAATCCATTCCCAGAGGCAACCGGCACTCTGGCGATGGAATCGCAACTCCCGCACATGCTTGCTGTGGCACAAGCGGAGCTTGCCAGTGCGGGTCCTGAGGAGCGTGAGCATTGGAAGGAAGCGGGCTTGGCAGAGCATGCGTCAGTTGGTTCCTTTGCGAAGCTTTGCTTGGAGTTGCTTGTTGCAGGAGCACCGCCAAGGTTGTTGCGCCGCGCCATCAAGGCACAGGAGGAGGAACTTGTGCATGCTCATCTGTCTCTGGGCCTTTTGCGTGGTGCAAACCATGAACTCCAATCGCCCTCTGTCTTCAAAAGCTTGAGGGGCGACCTCGCCAATGCTACCCAGGCAGATGGCCACGGTGGCTTTGCCATCGAACGCTTGGACCTCCCAGAACACAGCTTTGAAGTACGGCGTGACTTTGTGGCGCTCCGAAATGCCGCCATCGAGGAGGGTCTCATCGGCGAGGGCCGTGCGGCGCTTCGGCTCTTCCAGCGCTCCCTTGAAACTCTGCATGGCCAGAGCGAGGGTAAGCTGGATGGCCGCGAGGTGTTGTCGGAAGGCCGCCGGGCTCTTGCGAAGATCGTTTGGGCGATTGCGAACGATGAGGCGCGCCACGCCGCATTGGCCATGGAGACCATTGAGTGGCTTTCGGGGAGAGACAGCAGACCACAGGCACAGCTGCCCAAAGTGCAGATCAGCCAAGGGACTGTGGTCGTGCAGGAGGTTGCATAAGCTGCAGCTGTGTGGGCGTGCAAGTGGACAGCTCCAGTGAACAGAAGTTAGATCTTAGTTGACCACATGAGACAACTCCCATGAAAGCTGGGTCCACAAGAAGAGCTTGCAAAGAGGGCTTAACTTGTGCCCCAGCAGCGGGGCAGGGACCGTCTCAAGAAGTTATAAATCACAACAATAAGACTGATCAGAATCATCATAATGCGAAGATACAGTAAATTATTATCATTAGTATTACTATTACTCGTAGAGTAGGTCGCCCCCAGAGGGCAATGGCTACATCACACAAGTGCTCCTTTATATAGCGTTAACGCGCAATGAGAACTACATTGGGTCTGAACCTCAAAAGGCCGCAAGAGACGGAATCATTTAAGATAACGTCTCTCCTGTTTTCCTCCCAGCTCAGCTCCCAAGCATTCACCGACGATGCAGCGATCTGCATCGAACGCATGGTATTGGAAAATTACTTACTATCATTATTGTTGTCTTTGTTAATTACTCTGTTTATGACCCGCTGCGGACAGTCGCTGTAGTAGGTTGAAGAGCCACGCGGGCCATGCAAGCTCAGAGCTGGTGCAGATTTTATGCAATTTTGCGCTGATGCTGGAAAGGCTGCTCCCAGAACAGTAATAGTAATAGTAGTAATGGTAGGTATCATTAGTGATAGTAATATTAACAGAAACATAATAGAAATAATGTTCGTAATAATATGTAGTACTTGTAGTAGTACTTGTAGTAGTAGTAATAATACTAGTAATAATGAACGA